GATCCACCCCTATTTCCCCTACCAATCCACCCCCACAGTACCTGATTATACCAATCCTAGCATTCCTACTATTATTTCCGTATTTTTCCGTATTTTTATCGCCCATCATTCTATCCCTATTCCTCTATGTATCTACCCTAGCTCCAGAGCCCATACCTAGCCCCATACATCCTCCCCATACCCTGCATCCAGCTATCCTAGCCCTACTGCACAATTACCCCCCATTTTCCTACCCTATCCTACCCCCTACCCCATCCCCTACCCATCCCCAAACCACCCCCTACCCCGGGGCCACACCCCATACCTACCCACCCATTTTTTCACGCATTTTTTGCCTATTTTTTCGCCCATTTTTCCAGCCAGAATACCCACCAGCACCACTGCTCTTTAATAAAGAGCCCTTATTAGCATGGGCCAGTAAGATGATGGGCTCTCTGTATAGAGTCCCAGTCTTACTATAGGCACTCTTTATAAACAGGCTACAGCTACGCCTGGGGTCAGGTGATCTCCCACTAATGCCACTGCTACGCTCTGTTCGACATTTCCCCAAACACCCATATCTTTTAAAACTGACTTTATTATGTTATCCGCAGTTTCTCTGGCAGCTTCGATATCTGCTGGTGAATCTGAGGAGGGCCTCCAAGATAAATTGCTACCCGTTACCGTATCGATTGTTACAGAAGGAGGCGCCGTGCTCGAAGCAGGAACGGGGATGTGGGGTTCTCGTCCATTGGCGTCGGGGCGAGGTCTTTTGTCTTTCCTATATTTATCCATAAGGATGCGCTGATGCTCGATTGTACTCTCAGGGTATAACGCAGGTAACTGAGAGGCGGCTGGGGGAGGAGCGCAAGTAGCAACGCTAACTCCGTCGATTACGCCGCACTCTGCAAGGGTGCGCAATGTTTCTTTCACACGATATTCTCTCCGCATCTGTTCAGGACTAGCGCTGGGTTCACCATCGTCGTATCCTCCCTCGCCGGTCACATAGATAGACTCTAGGTTTGGGTCTCGGTAAAGCTCAAATTCCAATGCATCGTCAGAAGTGTCTGGCCTGGCCCACGAACCGTCTTCGCACTCGATAAGCGCGCCTGCTTTACCACGTTTCCTGTTCTTCTCGTGCTTGTCGCGGGCGTCCCTACATTCGTCTTCAAGGTGAATGTTTTCGATAACAAAGGCAAGATGACTTGGAAACGTGTACGCCTCGAACGCCTGACTCCACGAGACACCATCGTCCTTTAAATCAGCGAGCATGCGCCATGGTTTGAACAAGATCAGCATTGCTCTAAAATATCTTTCATCCTCAAGCGTAGACCGTCCACGACGAGGCAGCCGTGAGCCAATGAAGTTGGGCAGAACGCGTACACGAGTACGAAGACGGCTGACATGTGTTTTATAATGAGGATGTTGACTTAAATATGGCACACGTACGCCTGTGCTACGCATGTTGTTGCTAGAAGATAATTTGTCCGATTTAATTAACACTTCTTCGACCAGTGCAACATGATCCCACAGTGCGAGACGATCAAATACTGGAGTGCTCCCCCTCATGCAATAGTTTTGAAGCAGTGTCGTAGGCTGTGTAATGTTTCCGCGCTTGACTTGTAAATTCAATCGCCCCTGATTGTCTGAGGATAAAACGTCTTCCACCACCCTGACATCCTCTTCATCATCCATATCTTCCTCGTCGAGGTCGTTGCCATCTGAGAGCTCAATAGAGTCAGAAAGAGTCTGTCCAGCGGCGTCCATATGATCGCTGGCTGCATTATCGGGCCCAAACAAATCCTCATCCATGGTGGAAGGCGCAGTCTGGGACTCGGGGTTTTCCAAACTTGCGATAAATTTATCAAACTCCGGGAAGAAAAGGGTCTTGAACGAGTGACTGCAGTAGCGATCACCTCCTCCCACGAGCCAACTCATAACCTGCTGATGAGATAGTTCCTGTCTCGCCATCATTGAATTCACAGCCTTAACCATCAAGCTCTTCTGAACAATATCTACTGTAGCATCGTCATCGTTATTGAACTTAGCTTCGTTTTGCTTAGCAGCCCAACACAAAGCCTGCAACGCAAGATGTAGAGGCAATGCAGACTTCGTGATGTAATCTGTAACATAATAAATCAACGCTTTCGCTGCTTCATCAGATCCAATGAACTTAATATCCATGTTGCATTTATACAGAAATAAGACGAGATCATTATAATTGTTGATCCGGGGATGCCACCTGCGTAATAAAATGGAAGACGTCTCGGGATCCAAACAGGTCGTGCTGCGTGTTTTTCCGTCCATTCGCATGCGACAGTGAGCGTCATCTCGGGGCTCATGTGGTTTAAGATATTTCCAACATGTTTCTTTGTGATCATGCCAATTACTAGCGAACGCCATCTCCTTGACGAACTCGAGATAGTTTCTATCCCATGCTTCACTATCTTCAAGACCTTCTTCCAGCCACGGATGATCTGACGTCCGCACATCAACATCACGGACTGGCTTCACGAAGTTAGTGTTGACAGGTGGATCTTGGGGCGGTTCCATATCAGGAGGTTCACACTTTATGATCGATTCCAACCACCCGAACATAGCAGTTTGAAACTCCGGGTCAGACACAAGGCGATCACGAAGCTTTTGGGGATTGAGATTTCCCCGTATCCATATCAACATATGACAATGAAGAGAACCTCTCCCTTGAGCCTCCACTGTTCCGTAGTATGCACTGCATACGCCAAATAGACCACTATCGCCCGTTCCGTAGCGCAAAACATGCTTTGTAAAAGACTCGATCATCATGTGGAAAAAGATTGCGGCGGCATCTGGGTTATCGGCGACATTACGTGCACGCTCCCACTCATTTAAGTTAGCAAACTCGTCTGGGTCGCCTCCAGCCAGTACATGAAACAATTTGCTATGAAGGTCAGCAGGGTTAAGTGTTAGAAAGAGGGCAGGACATCCAATACTCTTGAGCATAGCGCGGATCTCGTTCCGCAACACGACCTTCCGTCCGTTAGACCCATGAATATCTTTCATGATGACCTCCAGCCTCCTTATGAGAGCGGCCATGCGTTTCTCGCCACGAGATGAAGGTTTAGCGCTAGGGTCGTCCGCCCATCGTGTTGCCATATCTTCTAACAGAGCCTGATTGTCTGCTATCTCGGTAGTTAACGCCGTCAATTCTGGTGCTTTGACACGGAACTGGACGCTGCGGTACGAATCGAGTTTTTGAATGGCATTAAAACAGACATAGGCAAACTGAGGATCAGTTTTAAATTGCCCCTCAAACTTATTTATAAGATTTTTGACCTGCCGGCCCATGCTGATCTGTTGCCGACCATGCCGTAGTGGATTATTAAAACCACCAATACCCCAGGGGTCGAGATGAGGAAAGGCAAAACTTAACATTCGAGGATCTCTCTCGGGAAACAGACGGTTACCAGAACGAACGGACAAAAAGGGTTTGTGATCTAAGCACCATTGTAGTGCACGCGCCTTGAGAGTGGTTTCCGCAACGGCTCCTTGGCCTGAGCCCGTAAAACCTGACACCTGAAGTAAAGTCTGCCCATCTGGAACTAGAAGGTCGGCTGTGGTGAAGTCAACAGGGCCGGAATTTACGGCTTCAGCAACAGAGTCGGAGTCAGGAAGGTACTGAATCTCAACAAGCGACGTAGGAACGCCAACACGACTGAAGTGGTCAAATCCAGGACCGGAACACAATGCATCGAGATGATCCTCGCTGAAGGATATATTTGCGTCTCGATACCACTTATTATTAGCGACGAGAAACCGCAACAAAATCGAGACACGATCCTTATTGACGAGCAGTGGGTGCATCTTCCGTATCGTATCCATAGAAGGAGCGGTGTCCTGGCCAACAAAAAGAACACAAACAGAGTAGTCACCGTCGTCGGGTGAAGAAGGGAGAAGACTGTTTAAAGTGCCGATGTCTTGCGGGATAATCGCCACATTCCCTTTAACGTAGCGTTGAAAAGGTCCACGGACTGTACTTTTGGTCTTTTCCTTGGTATAGGTGAAAGATAACTGCGTGGTTCTACAAGCAGCAATGACCATGCGTTCTACAGCAGTACTGTCCGCAAAGGCCTGACGGACGTCAGGAGGTAACAAATCATAGGCGAAATAATGAAAGTTTGCGATGGAATCCGGCGGTTGCCTCCCCTGGTCCAAGTCAGATGAACATGTGTCACAAATAGATAAAGACGCAAGGCGGTTTACGTCTGCCATACCAGCCGGGTCCAAAAAAGCTCTACCGTAGAGTCGAAAAGCATAAGAGGTGGGCCATAAATGTGACGGTATATTATCGTTTCGAAGAATGTCAAGATCGAGTTCCTCGGGATCATATAGTGCCAGTTCATGACTGAATTTTCTCTGGCCGCATACAGCGCAACACTTCCAGACAAAAAGCTCTGGGTCCATGGCATCCTGAAAATCCTGTACGATGCTCCGCTTAAGGTCCGACGAGGCCATCTCGGGAAATGCAGCATACGGTTCGTGATGATCGTCTATCAATAAACCTGCAGGGTTGCCATCTGCAACATTAATCACCGGTTCCACACGAAATGTGTGCATCATATCACGCATGGGGTCTATAGCCGGAGCAGGAACGGTCCCGTTGAGCATCATAGCCGCTCTCGCGGCAGCACGAATGGTGACGTTAGTTTTCCGTTCATGCGCCAACTCACGAAAGACATAGACAAGATCGGCGCAAGATGAGTGACAGGTATGCCCCCTCATTTTACGAATCAACGAGTCACGGGTATCACGTTTCGCCACACGTACATTGTGTGCGATAGCTACGTCCTTGACTGACGCTCTTTGTATAAAGTTCCATGCTAACAAAACGGAGACGTTCGGTACGACAACAAATTTAAAATGTCCTAAACATTCTGTGGCCCAATCCCACACATGGCGAGACGGACCGACATACGCCAACGCCCAGCGGAGGTTCATTTCGTCTGTAGAGACCGAAAGCTGATTGGCCTCCACAATTCCTTCGGGACACAACTCGCAGTTGTAGCTGATGAGAGATGGTTCAGGAGACAAAGAATCTCGAAGCGACTCTGAGCAATGACTGCGATTACCACCCCTGAGACGCCACGCTATGAAGAAGTCAGCATGTGCGGAAGTGTTCCACGAACAAACATGACTCACCGGAGCAGTCATGCGTGTCCGCTGTCCAGAGAGCAATGAGAGAATGACATAGAACACGAGGAAAAGAGCGCACAAAAAGAAGGACTGGATGGACCCGAAGCCGCAACAGGACTGGATGGACCCGAAGGCGCAACAGCGACGTCTACGGGATAGTCTATAAATGACGTTGAGGGCAAGATCATATATCTGAAAGACAGAAAAACACACCACATTGAAGCTTTGAGAGGCGATGCGACGTCACCACAGCTGGATAATAGTGAGCGGGAAACTTGTACAAGCCACGCCAAAGCTTACTGTATGTTTCTGCGTGGAGAGCGCATGATTCAAAGGCGGGATCGGAAGATAAACATGAACATCGACGGCCTACAATTGTAGGCTCGGCATCAGAGACATACAGAGTGGCGATGGAGATAGTACGCACCACATGACACACAGCCAAAGGTGGTTTCCCCCCGTGGAAGATGAGAGGCTTCGACAGCACTCAACAGAGTGTTCGCGTTAAGGGTAGATAATCCATGCTGATGAAACTCTGCCATCCAAAAATGAGGATCTACGGTGAACGAACGTGCAGCGGCCCATACCTGGAGGACATCCACAAGAGGCTAGTTCTTCGCACAATAGCAAAGACGAACGAGGTAAACAAAACTCGCGGACGCGACGATAACCCGGAGAGGACGAGCGAGTGCGCTTCATGGCGGGTGTTCCGCGAGTCGTTCAATGTGGTAGAGGACGGGGCGAGAAAGACAGCGGGGGTACCTGTGCAGAAACCGCCCTCAGTACAAGAAAATGAACGACATCGTGGGAATACGAGAACAATCTTGTAACTGAGATGACGTGAGCATGGGATATCACGCGGGATAATGATCACCATAAGGCACCGCGCCAAGGAGGCGGCCCACAAGATAACCTTTGACCTCAACCAGCGTGGTCAAATTTTCCAAAAGAGATGTGACGAACATCAGTATTGTTGGTCATCTCACTGTACTGAAGCATGTATTGCTGCCTTTGCAGATCCCTCCCCACAGTGCGTTGACGATACCAATACCCGTAGGGATCACTACAGTGGCGATCACGAAATAGTTTGGAGTCTCGTAAGCTCGCGCCGCACGAGCGGAACATGGCTCGATCAGGCCCAGAACTGCACGGCCAAAGAATGCAGGACACGGAACGATCAGGCCAAGAACTGCCCGGCCCGGAAAAACGCGGACGTAGGGGCGATAGTGCACGGATAGTTTGGTCTTCAACCGAGCGGCAACCGATAACATCCGCCACCAAACTAACGCGAAGCCATTCTGTGCAGGACACAGTAAGCCGCGTGATCAACATAGAACACGGAGGACATCGACCGGTAATTGGGCAGGTGTCGAGAGTTGAGCGGCAGAACTTGCAGAACAAAATCGAACCCCGTAGTAAACCCCGTAGTATAACAAACACCGCTTGAAAGAGAACAGAACACGACAAAACGTTGTAGCCAGAACACGAACCTGACGAACGGAGAGACGAGACACTGCCGCGAGTGGGGGCACCAAAAGGGGTGTATTACACGATACATACGTGAGGAACAGAAATACAATTCCATACTAACATAGTGCGTCGAGCCAATAGGAAACAGCGACGACAAGATAGCAGCACAAAAACGAGAGTTGACCTGGAGCGAGAGCACACGATCACAGCCCAAAGAAGGAAAGCAACAGCGAGCGGAAGGCGATGAAATCGCGGCCCAAAAGAGAAGGACGGCGGTATGCAGCGAGCAGGCCAACTAAGCACACAGGGGCGAAACGATTGCGTCCCGAGCACGGTATGCAGCGAGGGGGCAAACTACGCACACGTGGGCGAAGCCAATGCGTCCCAAAAGCAAAAGGGAAGGAGCGCGGTATGCAGCGAGCAGGGAAAAGAAGAACACGTGCGAGCAGTGCCCAAAGGAGAACTGCGACGACGGACAGCGCATGGGCAATAAGAGCGCGTGATCATGGGAGTTATCTACTGAAAGGAGTCATACGTCCCCCAAAAAGGAAATCTGGTGAAGAGGACGACTTTGGTGAAGACCTGCTCCCTAATTAGGGACCAGGAACATTCGATGCGTGGGAAGTAGGTCCTAATGGGGTAGGAAGGGGGTGTAGACGTCGTTAGGTCTTTCGCTCGCGTGGTGGTATGTCCCAATGGGGCAGGAAGGGGGTCTTGAGCTCGTCAGGTATCCCAGAGCGTGGGAGGCGTTGTCCTAATGTGGTCATTTAAATCATTGTAAGACCTGATCCCTGTAGGGACCAGGAATTTAGTAAGCCCTACCTGTCGAAACGAAAACAATTACGTTTTTTGATTGATGGCATTCTCATTCATTGGAAGAAAATAAAATAGGTATGCGTGCGTGTAAGTAAACAGAAATTATCGACAAGAATATGTAAGTAAGTAGGATCGGACCTCTCATATCACCAACAAAATCCGCGACAACCACCAACTCGACATGGACGCTCTGCCTCTGTACTATGCAAGTGTTCCGTGAGCACAACAAGCCTGTCCATCCTACGCCTTCGGGAAGCTAAAATGTAGAGTACTTTCCACGAGACAGTCTTCCTCATCTCCCATCTCCCGTCTCCCACCTCACCCTCATCATCTGACGCACGGCGCCACACATTAAACCAGACAACAACACTAGAACTAGAGCCGAACAAAGCGAACACAGCCAACCACCACACTGCACAGTGTATGTGTATCTATGACCTTCTAGATAGCTCATCCTTGACGGCCTGAATCACAGCCCGCGCATCTATATGAATATCTAGCGTCGAGGACTCAGGCCTCGAGACTGGTGGGAGGTTCTCGGCGGTGTGTTTTCTACAACGGGAAAGATGGCGCATGTTAGCCAAGGAATCCCAAAACAATCAAGAAGGAATGGAAAGGGAAGAGGAGTAGGACTCACTGTGCTCCCACAAACGCAACATAATGCATCCCAATCGATCTCACGACCTCTTCTCTTGCGTTTGAAAATGTTCCGTCGGGGAAGAACTCTACCAGTGCTGTCTGTGGCGAGGGTTTCATGTACACCGCATCCGCGAGATGGTCCCCATGTGCACCCAGAACGACCTAAAGGGCCAGAAAAGAATCGAGTTCAAAATGGAGTTAGTCAACAGGACTCTCCAGCAGCCAGCAAAGCTAACCAAACGTACAGTCGAACCAACCAGCGCCGCCATCCTCTCCTTCCACGCCATATCCTCCTCGATAACATTAACCTTCACATTCCTCCCCAACCCCTTCAACCCCTCCACCAACGCCGTATGATCCTCATCCCTCAACCTCCCCACCCTCCCACTATCCGCTCCACTCAATCTCCTCTGGTTCGACACATACGTCACGACCTGTTTCTTCCCTCCACTGCTCGCCAACGCCTCATCTTCCAGCATACCCGCAAGGTTCTGCCTCACAGGCTCGAACCAATCCTTCTCGATCTCGGGGTTCACCTCCAGGCCGTTATTGTTGCTCCATATCCCGGCGCCTCGGGCACGGGTGGCGGCACCACGATCGACGATGACGACCCTATCAAATACGACGGGCGTCGTCATATCGACAAAATCTATCCAGTCTTCCCTGTAGAGGACGCCTGCGAGACTCGGATATGCGCCTTTGAGTGTGGCGGGGTGGATGCCGATGGGCGAGCGTGGATGTGAGGGCGTGTTTTGCTCGAGGGATTCGATGGTGAATGTTGGGATGGACGGGAGGACGAGGCGGTATGGTGGGGAGAGTGTTTGTTGTGGTTTTGAAAGGGAGGAATATAATCGTTGGAGGGAGAGGATGGTTTGTGGGGAGGACGCTGTAGATGTTGTGAATAAGCGTCAGAAACTGAGATGGAATGCAATTAGGAGTTGACGTACTTGAAGGGGTATCGAATGAGAGGAAGGTCACGCCATGTATTCTGCCGGAGAAGAAATTAGACGCCCTATCGTCGTGCCACCGGGTTATTCTGAGCCTACCTTCCACCGTACGTGCCAAATTGAGCTACAGCGTCAATGGGGTACAAAATTTGCCAGTCTTCGACCGCGGGTGGGTCATTCGGGTTTGTCCTTGAAGATGCTATGGACCCGGTGGAGGGCATCGAGGAGGGCTCATCCGAGACGAGATACATCGTTCTGTTCGCGAGCACGACATTATCCAGAATGGTGTAGCCTGCGTGATGATTCCATGAGAATTGGCTGCTACACGACCTTGTCAAACGAGAAGAGACATACCAGGAGTATGCTTCAACACCTTCGCCCTCGGAACCGTCTCCTCCGTCCAATGCGTCACTAAATCCAAACCCGCAATACCCTCCGCAACCGTCCTCCCGTCACTCCCAACCGAAATCTGTCCCCTATCCCACACATCCTGCGGATACAGATACCTTCTCTGTCCAACGCCTTGCAACCACTTCGTGTACATACCCGTCATACCCTCTCCCAGCACATACCTATCTCTCCCACCCGGTTGCCCATCCGCATGAGTTCCCTTATCTCCTACCCAACCTTCTTTGTCCTTTATCCTCTCCTCCTCCGCCTCGTTGACGCCCGCAATCCTACCCTCCTCCCAATCCCAGTCCCCAAAGATCTCCTTCTCTAACACATCTCTGTACGCCTCTGGTACCCTCCCGTCCGGTCCTATTGGCAACCCACCGCCAACGAGTGAAGAGGAAGAGGAGAACGGATGGAAGAGGGATGAAGAGTGTGACGTGGATGAGAAGCCGAAGAGATGAAGCGTCGAGTCGAGATTGTAGAAGAGGACGAAGACGGAGAGGGAGAAGAGGACGAGAGTAAGTTCCCGCCTAGTCGGCGGGGACAGCCACGAGTGAGGCATTCGAATTCTGTTGATGTTGGGGCGCAGTGCGCGTTCGGGCTGGTTTTGTCCGAAACTGGGTGTGTTGGACTCGAGGTTCGAATTGCGTCTACGTCTCTAAAAGGCGGTCGGATTGCTTGGCCGTACGCGTTTTTGACGCGATGCTACGCGTGAAATAGAGGAGATGCGAAAGTCTGGAGATACAGTATATATGTTGGAGAAATGCGTCGGGTAACGAAAATACGGAGTCTCCTGTCTCAGAGCTGGCGGGTCGACAAGGCCGGAACGTGACGAGTATGTATGTCGTTTCAGTCGCAGTCGAATAGTCCCGGTCGATATAGCGGACAAATTTACTATCGAGTACGATATAAGGCTTTGAAGGAAACAGAGAGAACAAGGGGAGGGACAAAGAGCGTGATAGCGAAGAATAGAGCCAAGCCGCTAGTCTACTAATAACGGACGAAGGGGGGACGTGATGATGGAAGGAGCAGTGCGTTGCCGCAGGCCGATCGGGCTTCACCCTCTTTCTTCCCTTCCCTAAGTGGCACTTCCGTTCCACCGCCACTCTCGCTGCGAAACTGTTGCAGAACAAACGCAAAGCAATCTCCTTCGGTATCTTTATAGACAAGATCCAAGTAACGGTAAATCCGTCCTCTCCCCGCGTTGTCGTCACGCGAGGACTCGCGAACAGCTTCATTGGCCCGGACGGACATGATGAGGTTGCGTGGTCGGAAGCTCTTAGACTCTTACATTCTCCATAGATATGAAGATATGATCCACGCCATCCTTCTTCACGTCAGACTCTGAACTTTACGCTCGGAATTGACGCCCCGTGATGTTGCGGTGGGAATGCATCGATTCAAAGCCAAGAGGTGGAGGTGGAGGTGGTATGTACAGTATGCGTAAATGTAACAAGAGGAAGTAATACATGACGGTCATACACCGACAGTCGGTACAAGGGAAAGACACAATCGGCGAAGGCGTACAAGAACAAGAACCGTATCGACCAAGGATGCGCCGGAAGGCAAAGGTATGGATGTTGCTCGATCTCCGGGTGTTCAGACCTCCTGGCTGGGTCCATCCTTCTTTCCAGCCCTGTGTAGATATGGTGAATCAGTCAATCCGTCGCCCCAAGACATGATTTTGGCAGAAGAAGAGAAAGATAAAGAGGGCGTGAAGGAAGCAATGGAGTGGGAACCGTCAACTTGAATGATATGATAACTATAACTCACTTGGAACGTGTGGGCAAAAGCTCGGGGTTAATGTACGGAACCACACCACCTTGGCTGATGACGACGTCTCCCAGCAGCTTGTTCAGCCTAAAAATGGGCAGATTGGCCGGGTTAGATTAGCCTGTTATGGAAGAAAAGGACATAGAACGGAGATAGAACGGAGAACGAAGTGTCAAGAGAACAATGGATCTCATCATGCGTGGCCACCAGTCAGCGCCACACATGGATTCTTGCCATATTGGAGCATCCTTTCTGAGAAGCTCCAAGGGCATCTGTGTGAAGGAAAGGAAGGAAAGTACGCACTCCTCGTCATTACGGATGGCCAGCTGCAAGTGCCTCGGGACAATCCTCTGCTTCTTGTTGTCCCTGGCAGCGTTACCCGCCAACTCTAGGATCTCAGCGGCAAGGTACTCTAAGACCGCCGCAAGGTAGACTAACCATTGCAAATATCAACGGTCCAGTAAGTTATGTATATGATCAACAAAACAGGAAAAAATCATAAGGGGACTCGGGCGGGGTATGGGAGTGGCGCAGCGATCAAAGTAGACTATAAAAGTAGACAAACATACCAGGTGCACCCGCACCAACACGCTGCGCATAGTTACCCCTCTTCAAAAGACGATGAACACGACCGACGGGAAACTGTAATCCGGCTTTCGCAGAACGCGACTGAGACTTGCCCTCAGTGCTAGCTTTGCCACCCGATTTCCCGGCTTTTCCTGTTATAGTCAATCGTTAGATATAGATTCAATCGGAATAGCAAAGTGATCATTCAGGTCGAGAGGAGAGGTATAGTAGGTAAGAATGAAGATGGATGCATGATCGTTATGAAAGGGAACGGTATTCGGGTATGGGGGATGAGCGGTGAACGGTGAACTTACCTTTTCCACTCTAAGGTGGGTAGTCGATGAACGGCAGTGAGCCCGGTGAACATGTCTCAGAACGTCATCGCACCTTACCATGGTAGTCTAAGCTATGATTTCTAAGGGTGTATAACGATACTAGAACTATGGTGGTGGTTGGGTAGAAAGAGTAGATCGCGATTCGCGCTGCCCGCGAAACGGGTGGCGTCGGAAGTACTCAAACGGTCACGTGATCGCTGTCTTCTCGCCGACTCTGAATTTGTTTGCCGTTCCGTTTCGTGTGACTATACTGTGACTATGCTGCTTCACTCAACATTGGTACTTCGTCAACTATAAGAAACTGCTCTGAGGGGTATTTACGCTTGCTTTTGACTGCTTATATCTGCTTCTTTTGATCTGTACTCCGCCTCGAAGTGCTTGAAACGATGCTTTCCGTTGCGCTCCGGAGTTCACCCTCCTGCTCAAGGACTCTCCCATCCCTTGCTCTGTCCTCAAGCCGTCATATTACCTCACATGCCACTCGAATATACTCTTCACAACGACCACATCTTAATCATCCAAGTTTTACTCGCAATAATTCCACACAACCGAAACCCAAAGGCCAACCCGGTGCCACATCTCCCCCCGCACCTACCCTAGTATCTAGCACTAGCGCATCTTCAACACTCGAAAGCCCCTCCTCCATCGACGCTTCCTCTCCTGAGTCTATATCCGCAGTTGAAGATGAGAAGAACTCAATACCGCTGCTTGATAGGCCTCTAGGTGTTGCGGAACCTCCGAGCGCGGAAGAGAAGAGTTGGAAGGAGAAGGGTAGCGAGTTCATGGACAGTGAGAAACAGTTGGAGAAGAGGAAGGCTCTGTGCGTTCATCTTTCTTGGCTTGTAATATGCTGTTGAAAGCGGTGCTGACGTATGTGAGGATGTCGGATATCGGTCCGCGAATGAAGTATTCGACAGGCTTCGTCAGGATATTTCTATGATCTGCATATGACGAGGAGGCATGGCGGAAAGACGTGGATGGCACCTAAAGTGCTTATCCGACAAGAGGTATGGTTCCTTTTCTTTTCCACTTCTTGAAGTCCATAACATTGACAATCGTCTTTGACTATTCTTACCTGTGCATTCAGAAAGCCCTATACTTCCCGGATATAGTTGGTCACCGGCTGGACAATGGCGAAAAGACACATACGACTGCGATGTGTAAGGGGAAAATCACCGTCGTCTCGATGCTCACTACCAAAATCTCCGAGGTTTGTGTGCTTTCCGTACTTTCTGCACTTTTCGCCTATATCTGCCTCTTCTCCTGTTCCTTCCTCCCCAACATCTGCTCATTCCCTCTCGCATCTATTGCAGTCGCACGCCCAAGCGTATACTGAACGCGTAAACGAAGCCTACGCGTCCAACCCATCCTACCAATACCTCCAAATAAACCTGCAAGAAAATGTCCTCAAGTCTCTGCTCGTCAACCTCTTCCTTTCTTCTCTGCGCTCTACAATACCAACATCATTACATCCTACATATCTGGTTTCAAGGCAGAATATGGTACGTCCATCCTTCTCTACTTATTCTACCTCTTCTTCCACGCACAGCAGGTTAATTGCTGATGGTCGTGGTGCAAACGTTTTCTTTTTTTGCGTATGCTAGGACTACGTCCGCGACTCGCTCCTCATGACCAACTCCCGAATCGGATACGTATACGTTCTCGACGAAGACCTCAAAGTTCGCTGGGGAGCGTGCGCAGATGCGAAGCCCGAGGAAGAAGAGGCATTATATAGGGGCGTTGGGGTGTTGCTGAATAGGTTGGATAAGGCGAAGGTGGGGAGTATAGGCGCGGGGAAGAAGGGTGGGAAGAAGTGAGACTTGTTTGGATAGATTCAGAGAAGGTGCCGGGGGCGCTCACTGGAGTCTGCAAGCTATGACTTCCACTTCTTTCATCTCAGGCAATATTATTATTCTACCATGCAAGACTGGTCTCGAAAGATTGACGGAACTGATTACAGCGAACGAGCGGCAAGCAGAAGGACGGTAGGCCTACATCTCCTTAGCGCTTTATTTGTTGCTATAAATAACTACGACCTACTTCTGGGTTCGTGGTACCGTCATCTGAATAGAAACTCATGGAGCGGAAAGTCGTTCGCTGCGGGCATAGAGCCACACCTCACTTGCTAGCGCACAATCTCCGAAGAGGACAGATATTGACAATACCCAAGACTCATGGACACGATGTAGTCATTGCATAAAATTACAGTGTTGTATACAGGACAGCTTCTGCAATTACGGCTGGGTTAGACCCGATTTCTATTAGGAGACAACGACGGACCGTACCTCTAAACATGGTGATACAGTGCATTGCTTCTACCGCAAGTTCACTTGGACTCTTCGTTGAGATTCCTGACAGCATCAGATGCTGTAGGCGCAGTCTACACAACCATCGGTATCGTTAAAATTAACGACGAGAACCCAAGAGCAACGCTCATACCTCCATGACGTTCTTCACTTCCTTCCCTGACGACTGGTCAGCCTTGTCGAAGTAGGCTGAAGTGGACAAAAAAACCAGGTTAAATATGTGAATTGTTTGTGAATACTGTGATAATGGACCTACCACCGCGCTGCTCTCTGTCTGGAACGGCTCCTGCATTACCGCCCTTGATGGAGGATGCACCCATTGGCTCATTGTCCTGGAGAGGGGGAGACTGGGTGCCAGAGCCGATGTTGGAAGACATTTAAGATTGATGTGTGGTTACTGGTGACTGCGTGTGAGATGGTGGGTGTAGAGAGTGGTGTTGAATATTCAGCGGGAGCTCGATTCAGCGAGCTTTTATGTGGGCGGAGGAGGAGCAAGAGGAGACTGACGTCATGCCGATGTTCTTTGGGCGAAATCGCGTGTAATGAAGACGCGTCGGACCACGTGACCGTCTCTGAATAGCGCGGAAATTGCCAGGAAATAATGACCTGGCGGAGCACGACTTCCTCTTCACCACTACGCTCATCTTGGCTCAGATTCTGCTTTGTTCTCCTCTCGGTTCTGTTTCAACGATACCGAGTAAGGAGCTTATAGCTACTGGTATTCTCAGAAATTATCTGTGAGGTATCACACTCTTCGTTCAGGGTGGAATTACAAAGGTCAGTCAACGTGCTGCTAGTTCTCGTTATGTGAACGCATGCATCATGAGTGGTGGAAGACGACCGAAAAACCTGCCATTCGGCTTGCTGTTGCATGTTGTGGTGTAGCAATGCGCTTCACTTTTGCCTAAGGGCCACACATGACCTTCGCCACGAAACAGCGTCACATCCCTCGTGCCACTCCTTGTCATGAAACATTCCATTCATCCCTCTTTCTTATAGCATTCCACAACCCTACAGACCTGAATTTGCAGAGCCTCAAATCTCATACGCAATGTCAAGACCAGAACGCACTACCATTCGCAATCGTGGTCCCTCCGACCGACCCGCACTCCTTACCCGTCGTCCATCTATCAACATACCCGGCGCAACTCCCTCTACCAGTCGTGATGCTACTTCAAGCTCGGCTTCCCAAGCCGTAAAACCCACCGGAAGCAAAGCTCAAATTTCCAGCAAACCCTCTCGCTCCTCCAAAACCTCACAGAGACTCGTTCTCCTCCCATCTGACCCGCAAACAAAACCCCTCCTTCCTGCCATAGACGAAGACGAGCATGGATACGAGACGGACGCGGGAGTAAGAGTGAGCGAACATAAGAGTATGGGAGAGCGGATGAGCAAGAGCGAGAGGCGGAGGGCCGGATACAGGAGGATTACGGCGCTGAAGGTTTGCGAAGGTTTCAAGATGAAATTAATGGCTAGTTTCTTGAAGAGAGAGCATAATGTTGCCCCAAGAGCATTCGACGAGGCACTCTACGTGGTACGTTATTTCTTGTTCTACTATCGCTATTCCGTCGTGATAATGACGATATATATGACGGCATTTAGCCGTACCACCTCCCACTTCTACCTGGCTATGGCCAAGGCGTCAATGTTCGGTCTTCCGTACCTCCCGAAGACCGCCTTACCCGCATGTCTGAAGCGGAAGAGAATGGGTATCAAGGCACCTACTTCACTTCGTCGTCCCCAGGGCCCGCCTTTTCGCTCCGCGACGGATACATCAAATCTTCCTCACCGGAGGAGTCTCGAAAGGTTAGGATACCAGGCGAGGACGATACCGAGGCTGAGGTTGAAGTCGAGGGGCTGGAGGCAGACAATGAGCACGAGCCGTTGTTGCCTGAGGTAGCAGCTGAGGTCGAACCAGCCCTTCAACCTTCCACATCCGACGCTTCCGTAATACAACCTTCCGAAACCCTGGACTCGTTGCACAACCCAGAGATAGTTGCAGAACGTGAACATCAGCAATCACAAGAAGGCAATATAGCCGTGCGTGACTATGTTGAAGCATCGAGGCAAGAAGAGCATGAAATAGAGAGGGAAGGAGAGCGGGATAGAGCGGATAGCGTGAATATGGCGGAGGTAGTGTTCTTTGCATATGGTGTGGTTGTCTTTTTTGGGCTGGAGGAAGGGCAGGAGAGGAGTATATTAGAAGATGTAGAGGGAGCGGGCGTTATGAGGAGAAAGATGGCAGAAGAACAGTGGGAGGTTGAGGAGTGTCATTATGCTGTGAGTCGCTTCATCTTTCGGCGCCGGACCTGCAAACTTACGTTCTCGCAGTACGATTCTACAATTCAATACCCCCGGATATACAATGATTTCTTCAGTGAGGGCACTTTCTCACCACACATCGGTCCGCGCTGACTAGATCTCCTCGCAGCTTTTAAATCCCCATCCCACCTCCTCACGCTCTCCATAGCGCACGCGCTTGCTCAATCATCTCTCCTCTCACATTACGAATCCTTGGCACGTTCCATCCTACTGGATCCTCGTACGACCGCTATACCACGTCAACTCGCCTCCGAAGGCGCACTCAAGCTTTCCCGAACGCAAGCCATGAAGCTCACCGGTCGTCTTTTCCGGTACGTACAACTCCTTCGATGATCCTCCCAACCATCCTCTGATGTGACCGTCCTCAGATTACGCCGCGACGTCGTTCTCGGCGGCAACGTCCTCGACGTTCCCGAACTCTTCTGGGAAGAGACCTCGCTCCGGGGCCTGTACGACGCCGTGCGGGAATACTTCGAGATCGGACAGCGGGTGAGCAGTCTGAACGAGAAGTTGGTAGGCGCGAATGATTTGTTGGACGCGATTCATGATCATTTGAATAATAATGCGATGGAGAGGATTACGTGGATCATTATCTGGTGAGTTTTATTTTACTTCTTGAAGTGTGTTATGGCGAAGGTCAGCCATCCCAAAGAGGCCAGAAACTGAACGAGGAGTTGGTCTGAATCTAGGTTGATTGTGGTCGCCATCCTCGTCGAATTGGGCGAAGTGATCGCCCGCCTCATCGTACACGCCACGATGGAGTCCGGACGATCGGCTTCCTCCGCAGTACCGCGTCTTGCTTCGTCAGACATGCTACAGAATGTGACGCAGATGTCGAGGGAAGAGGCTCTCAGGATATTGGAGGAGATGGTCGCGGCCGCTGCGCCTGGTACGAAGTAGGTCCTTTTTGAGCAAGGAACCATATTGTGGGGGCTTAGGATGTCGTAGAGTGGGTTGGATTGATGATTTGTCGCTGGGATATGTTCATTCTTCTGCCTTTGTTCACTACTATTGCTTTTTTCCGCGGACTTCACACATCGTAAAAGAAACACTCGTGACGAGGAGTGTCATATTATGGATCAATTTACCGTATCCTCTCCATCTACTAAATCCATCCCCAATTCTTCACCATGACTTTGTCGTGTATGAGCTGCTATATAGCACCTCTCCCTGAGAGCCATTTCTGAGCGGTGCCTCACATGTCCGCGCGGCATGCCGGTTGTATTACATAGGCCGCCGGACTTTTGTCGCCGTGTATTAATAAGGGTTGAACAAGGGCGCCTGTCGCCCAAGGCTCCCCCGCACTTCGTACTCTCTGCAGTGTCCTTCCCTGTACCCCGCAGTCCGCTTTACAGGAAGTTCAGCTGGGTGCTGTAGCTCCCCCCATCAAACCTTTGCTTGAGGCTTGCTGCATTGTGAACTGGTCTCTGGCACTTGGTCCCGTAGCTCTTGCCTTTGTGAAAATACTTGTCATCAATATCAGCCAACATCATGGAGAGTATGGCGAACAACGCTGGATTGGCCCCAAGGGCATCGCAAGCGGACGACATTATTATCGTAGGCCCCTTTGAAGCGAAGTGCATCAGGTTGAATTTCTCATCCAGTTTGTTCGTTTCTTGACTACTTAGCACAGGGCTGTAGAAGGTGCAGTTTCGGAGGCTGAAGGCTTCTATCCTATGCCAACTCCGCGCGGGACGTAGGTCTCTTCCACCCTCTTTGGCTCGCTAACAAGGACTCACAGGAGCGATTTTGTCGGAAACAACGTTTAGACGTATCGCTTATTACCCACCCAAGGACAAGAAATTCTCTTGGAAGCGTCTACGGCCGAGTGTGAGATTGAATACTCATATGCGTCCTTATACCTGGTGCAGCATCTTCGCGTCAATAGGCGGGTTCCTCTTCGGTTTCGACACAGGTAACGGATTGCCCCTCTGTCTCCACATTCTTGATAGCTGACTGACTCATCTCTTTACCTCTGCTTCAGGATCCATCGGCCCCGTGACCGTGATGTCCCAATTCGAAGATAAATTCAATTCCATCTCCGCAATCCTCCAAGGTCTTATCGTCTCCACCATTCTCCTCACGGCATCGCTTTCCTCCATCGCCGCCGGACCCCTTTCGGATCGTATCTCGCGCACTCGCACCTTCGCCCTTGGAGGTCTCGTCTTCGGCATAGGCTCAATACTATCCAGTGCGGCAGAGAACCTTCCTATGCTGCTGGTAGGCCGTTGTGTGACCGGACTAGGTGAAGGACTGTTTATGTCGACAATTACTGTGTATGTTTTGGAAATCGCGCCGGCGAGCTTGAGGGGACGATTGTCGTGCTTGACGCAGCTATTCGTGACCATCGGGGTCGCATCTGGTAAGATATTGCATCTGACTTTTACACGCAATAAGTTGCTTAAGCATGCAATGCACAGGTTACTTCGTTTGCTATGGGAGCGTCAAGCTGGCGTCCTCTATCTCTTGGCGCATCCCTTTCATTCTTCAAGTCATTGTCTCCTTTGTATTCTGCGCTGGTTCCCTCTTCCTTCCTCATTCTCCTCGATGGCTCCAACACGTCGGACGAGCTGAGGACGCCAAACATGCATGGGAGAAGCTCGGTTACACTGCAGCTGAGGCTGAAAAGGAGCAGGAAGTGGAGGAGAGAGAGAGGAATGAGATTGCCGTTGAGACGGAGCAGGCGCAGAGGGAGAGTGCAGTGGCTGCCGAGGATAATAAAAGAGATAGATTCAAGGGTACTGTGTGGGGCAAGGATGTGAGAAAGAGGACCATCTTGGGTATCTTTTTGATGGCTGCACAGCAGGTAACAGTTTCGCCCTTTTCATTCAGATTGCACTTGGCTGACTATTGTTCAGGCATGCGGTATTGATGGCGTGCTTTATGTGCGTTTCTATCTCCGTTTCGTTCCTCCATATGGGACTTACTCAGCTTCTCGCACAGTATGCTCCTGTACTCTTCTCTCAAGCAGGTCTCTCGTCCACGACATCTGCCTTCCTTGCTTCAGGGGTTTCCGGTCTTCTCAACATAGCTTGCACCATCATCACCCAGATCTTCACCGATAAATGTACGCCTTGAACAACTTTTCACCTCTCTAGTCTTCCACACTGATCTTAATTCTGTTTGCTTCATCTAGGGGGTCGTCGACCCTCAATGATTCGCGGTGGTCTCGTCATTTCCGGCACTATGTTGACTATCGGCGCCCTCTATGCGAGCGGCGCGTCGTCTACTCCTGGCGGGAGATGGGCCATCGTTGTTCTCATTTATGTCTTCATCATTGCCTTTGCGACAAGCTGGGCTGTGGTGAACAGGATCTACTGCTCCGAAATTCAACCGATGCATACGAGGGCAGCGGCGACGTCGCTTGGCCAATGTGCTAACTGGGTCAGTCCTCTGCAGTTCCCTTCTTCGAGACATAGAGAAATAAGCTGATGAGTCGACTTGGGTGATATATTATGTCGACTTGAATAGGCGGTCAATTGGGTCGTTGCTTTCACGACACCTTTCTTCCTCTCGCGCTCCTCCTCGGGACCGTACTTCCTCTTTGGCACCAGCTCCCTTCTCACCGTCATCGTCTGCCTTCTCTTCCAACCCGAATCTAAGGGCGTTTCTTTGGAGAGGCTTGACAAGATCTTTGAAGTGAGCCCCTGGAAGAAATTCCTCGCGAATAGGGTGTCCAGGCTACATTCACTCAGCCAAGGACGGCATAGGGATGGCGAAGGGTACGATGATGGGACTTCCGGAGGCGTGGAAGCTATAGAGTTAAGGCCTATATCGGTGGCAGCGTAAGCCAAAAAGCCCTCCGCCCTGAATATAGTAGGAAGAGATTAGGCTTTGCAGTGGACCAGCTGAACGTCCACAAGAAGACTCAAAATGATGATTTCTTTCCCTTATATCTCCTGCTTCTGTCATGAAAAACAATCCGTCAATTGTAATATAAAAGGTAGCTTATAGAATGAATCGTTAGCCTTGATGATTCCCAGCGCCGCCGCGAAATTCCTGTAGTGGACCAAAGTACTTGTGCAAGGGGAATGGCGAGCGAATTGAGACTCGACACAGATTCTTTCAATGCAGTGTCTCCGGAACGCACCGGCATAACTCCGATTTACTCCGGAGGACGGAAACGCGAGTCGTCGCGTTGGTTCTGCTCCATCCTCACCTCCTCACCCAAACTTCTGCCTTCTACCCAGTCTTCGACCGTGCTGACTCTCCGCTGTACAGTGGTATTTCTCTTATCGGCACTACTTATCTTGTCTATGCAGGGATAATGTAAGATGTGATCTGACTTCAGCGAATTCGCTGGTCATCTCGGCCCCCCATTACGCTCAGGCTTGTGGCCAGATAAGCACTTTGTTTTAACAAGAGACACGCTCAAACCCACCGACTGTATCTCAACTGTTCTATCGGATACTTGCGTTCATGTCATCTCTTATGAGACTCCCGTTGCGCTGTTCCACGTCGGTAAGCGATTCTCTGCTACCCTCATCGCATTCGCACCTTACGTGCGAGGCTCGCGCTTCCCAAAATCTCCGCCTACCTGCTCTCGGCATGGACGTTCCAGACTCCCACTCTAATACTCTCGGGCAGCCCTCGACTTCTGTTGTGTGTTCTGCCGCGATGTTGCGAACAGGTTGATGAAGAACCTTGTCAAGACATTCAACTCCATAACTACACCTGTCTTCACAAGACTCAATGCTTTCTCATGATCGTCTCCAGAGCTTAGGTGGTCGTGGTCGTGGTCGTGCAGACTCTGAGTACTTACCGTGCGCAGTACACTTCAACACCATGCCTGGTCTGTTTTCATAGAACCTTCCGGTTCGTGTTCGGGTCTCCGCCTCTCCTGACGGAAGTACTCTGAGGGGTTATTCTTTCCCATCGATCAGGCCTTCGAATCAATATCGATTCTGTTGCGAACTCCCCAAAAGTATACGCAGATCCTCTTGTATGTCAATGTCGATCCCAACGACGCCCCCTCTTCCCATGTACATTATTTTTCCTGACCTGCGTCAACTTCCTCCAATCTCCGTCTAGATATACGACACCAATTTTGTCTAGCGTCTCCTTCGTATTTCAGGACCATTGGCCAGCCATAGCTCAGACCGAAGGCTCATCGCCTTTGACCACCATGGGGTGGCTTTCCCTCGGTCACTATTCCAACATGCCAGCACTCGTACACTGCTCTCAAGCGTTCGCAGATTCTCTATAATGATCAATAGAGACCGTGAAATCGGCGAGAATCTAAACTCGGAGATTAGAGCGAAACTCAATCGAGTTTCGCTCCACCGGCACGAGCGCTCACCACTGAGTTTGGAGCATCAACCGTTCCAGTCTCGGCTTTTGAGTTTCGATTTTGGACGATTTCACGCTCTCTAATGTATATGCCTCGACTATCAGCACACTTTTTGAACGCTGTGGAATTCCAGCGAGATATATTTTCTTGCTTCCACGTACATTGGGACTGGATATGGCGGAGGTCACACGCCATAGACCCTTGATAGAATTCATCTGCTTCGTGTAGTTTTTTCTTGAATCATTATTGTGCTTATGCATCGGTGCCTCGTCTGTTTCCAGAATTATCTGCTACTCCACCGATCCACACGGCGAACTCATCAGCTCCACCAATGTCTCACCATCCTCTGCGTTATCATACTAAAGCTTACGGTTTTTGCATCTACAGCAAAGCGATCTCAAGCTGCTCGACCGCCAGCTACTTCTATGACGACAGCGTAACTGAACAAGACCAATCCGCCCATCATCTCGTACACCGTTTGTTCCAGAAATGGCTCCATGACTCCCCTGTGTACGGCGAACTGAATCCGCAGGAACAATTCGTGATTTTGATGCGCCGGACTCATCTCAAAATCCGTCGAAACATGTAGATCTGCCTCATCATCGGGCTCGGAGGGTTTCGGGAGATTCGGTGAGGCCCTGGTTGGTCCTGGTTTGTAGATTATTCGAAATACTGAAATTTGAGATCGTGACCGGGGGTAGTAGGATCTGCCACGGATAAAGTCCTAAGCTGTCCTCAGCTTGGCAGATTCCGTACCTCCAGGTGTATAGATTCCCCTATGGTACAACGTACGATGCCGACTTGTTACGAACCTCCAAGTATTCTTACACTACCGGACCCTGATCATTTGTTGTAGTTATAGTCTATCCCCGACTAATACCGAACGCTCGTCCGTATGCAGCATGAATTGTCGAGGTCATTCCTCATCTTGTTGTCCAACGTGAGTCAGGAGGGAGTCCTCTTTTACTTTGTGCCAACGACGGGCAACGAACTAAGACAGACAAATCCTAATTCGAACCGGCGGTGAGACTTCAGGCCTCAGGTGATGATGCGCGCTTTAATCGATGTGAGGTTTGTTCACCTCGGTTCTTCATCTCCTTTGGTGTCATATTCGAGGTTTTTCGTTCTACCATGGCCATTTAGGAAGGCCACAATGTCCACGATTCACATGTCCACAATCCTTCGATGTCGAACACAATAGCGACTCGCAGTGCGCGTGCAGATTCGGAGTGGCCCATGACCTTACTTGTACCGCTCAGATGCCACAACGCACTTTGTTCTCCTTGGCCTCTCCTTGCATTACGACAATATGCAGCCTCCGCTAATGTCTGCGATGCCAGACTGGTGTTCACCTCAACATAGCAGATATAGGATAAACGAGGAGCATCTTCAGAGCATCTACAATATTGTGACCGCTTGGTGTGTCCATCCCACCCATTCTCAGACGACGATCAGGTGGTTTGACTCACTCAAGGATTCTAGAGACTACATAGACTTTCGAGCTCAAGCCTGATTGGAGCGCCGTATTCAAACAACCTCGACACGGCTGAAGGAAAAGTGTTCAGATCCGCACTGTTCGGGAGCGAGCGTCTTGACGGTGCTTTCTCCGTATTCGCTTTCACCCCATTGACCGGACAGTATGTCAAGGTCACACGTCACTACCGGTACGAGGGAAAGACACGTTCATCGCGGTCTCATCGAGACTGGCAGTTGGATGTGCTTCTTCATACTGACATGCCGTATTTGTATGTCGCAGACTCCGCCCAAAGACCGCTCTTGAACCTTGCCTGACTTCTTTATTTTGGTACATTTTCATGACGCTCATCCTCTTTGCTGCCACCACGGGCTTTTCCAGCATCAACGTCGTTCGCAGGTGGATCTTTCTCGGAACGTTCTACACGCTCGATCCCCATTTCCTCTCGTAAAGACCATCTCGCGCTTTGAACCCTCGAAGTCAATATTTACGATACTACTGATGTGTCTCTTTGGGGAAAGTCCTTGAATTTTGCCCGTTCCACGAGAAGACAGACATGTCTTCTAGCGTGAGTACGCTAGCTCCTGGTGGGACTTACCTTGAACGCCGAAGCCGGCACCGCTACCGACCGCATAGCGACGTCGTTTAACCTAGATCAACAGCTGTCCAACAGCCACGACCTTGATGGTCGCGCATGCCAACCTTTGACACGTCGAGCGACGGTGTCAGACTTGTCGCGATCATCGTCCTCCTCTTTGCTTGTGTCATGCCAGATCCTCTTGTTTTCAGGCTGCATTATGCCGTGATACCAGGAACGGGTCCTCCGTTCACACAACTTGCACGTGTCCACTCTTCGTGTCCGGTGCTTCTGGGAAAGTTGTCTAAGCATGAAGAAGGCGCTCTGACCCGATATACTCTAGGTTTCTCATATCCCCGAAACTTACCAGGTTTTGCGACCGATTAGAAGGTTCTGGCGATATCGACGGTCACAACATCCATGTCTCGGGGAAATGCCATATTGGAGTCGTGAGTTTGTTCTCACCCGTTTTGAAGGAGATGCTCCTACTCAGGGAAGTGACCAAGCTGATCTTATTCGAATACATGAAAAGTTGCCCACGGAGCCTCAAAGAATCATTACAGCGATAATTTCGTTCTGATTTGTGATATGACTGTGTGCAGAGCTCCTACTCTCCGACTCGTCCGCGGATGCATTTCACGTAAGTATAACCCTGTATAAAATACGACGCTCATCGCTCAGGAGGCTCTCATAAAGCTAAACCTTCTAACTCGGAGGAGCTATCAAAACGAATTCAACGTCGGCTGGCTTTGAAGAAGCGGCCATAGACTGCTATTCAAGATATGACACCTGATTGGTCGCAAGAAATCGTAACGTCACGTCCTCTGTCATGATTCGGCGTCAAGCAGTGATGCGCACCAGCGAGTGTGGTTGAGCAGTAGAATGTCGTCGTCGTCGGTCGAGGCAAAGTCGATTGTCTCGCGTGAACTCTTATGAATTGCTTCTGAGAGGGCAAGACGACATTACAAGTAGACCTCCCAACCTGATGAGACTTCTAAAGATGGGGATGCGAGCGGCTCCCGCAACGGCGCACTACGATTTCCCTGTGGAAGGATTCGATCAGTCAAGGAAGACCTTACCCGAATCAAAAGGGATCAACGGAGACGGGGTAGTGAGCCCAGAAGGAGTATCCCTGTCGTTGACCAATTACTCATCGAATATCGCAGATTGATGGGTATCCAGTGATAGACGATGCCAGATAGTCGACGAAAACCCAGCAACAGAAAGCTCATCAAAGCTCGCAATATTGCCGCAAACCCTCCCTCTTTCAGCTAGGGAGGTACAGGATCATGCAGACGACATCCTTTCTGTGCGGGGAGCGAGATATCGGCTCGCTACCTAGAGAGATGAGCTCGACCAGCGGCTGAAAAGGCTATGCGAAAGAGACTGGAATGAGAGCAGCCAGTAGGAAAGATGCACTGTACGCTCGCCCATATGGCGTCCAATTACGTTTTGTGGGGAGCGGAAGGGAGGAACGAATCGAACTCCGCTTCCTGCCGGACTTTTTCGCGCCGAAAGAATCAGAAACTTAGATTCATCCGCCCTTTCCTGGGAGTCTCATTCTCATAAGGAAGTAAAACAACGCGCGGTTCCTCATGTTATGCACGTAGTCCTTGTAAGTACCATATCAGGATGTCTTTATGGAGAACAAGGACAGCAGACGTATATCACTCTCACAGCGTCTGTTGTATTGCTAGATTTGTTGCAGTCTCGGCCTTCGTAGCAAGGTGATGTCAAATGCTCGCGCTTAGGGCCTTATCCGGCTTCGAATGTGGAAGCGAGAAATGAGTGGGTTCTTCCCTCTCGTCAGGACCAACAGAACGGTACCCGCAAGCGTACCTCAAAGCCAATAGCTCCGGGGGTCAGCGGGATGATTTCGACCTTTATATCGGCCAGAAGTCGAGCGTCCGTTCACGCTTTTGCGATCCCCACTTTCGTTTGCGGCGGAGGTATTCAAGAGGCCCATCATCTCCTTCATCCATTCCTTCTATCTCGACTTGGCCGCGCCTTTCTCGACACGTTCAATTCTCTTCGAGCCATCATGCTTCCTCGTAGACCTCGCTTGCGTTTGGACTCGCTAAACTCTGACCATCGCCCACCGCCGACGAGCTTCACACCGGTAGTCACCGCTGTCGATTCAGAGTCTGAGCATTCGCATACGTCGGTCTTCCGGTGAGTCTGCTATTCTGATTCACATCGCTGCCCGGCATTTTGCTCATGTATTTGTCGAAACAGCTCGTACAGGATGACCATCTCGGTTCATTGCAACTCTGTGAAGATGTCCCGAGAGGGCAACCAGTCACTCGGGAGACATTTGCCCGTTTTTGGTGACCATGATCGTGTACGGGGCACGATTAGTTTGGATCCTTCACTAAACTTGTCGTCTGGACGTTTAGTCGTCTTCGTGAGTCTTCGTTGTACGTTGACCTCTCGCCGGATACCACTGACCATTTACACTCTGTAGATTGAGGGCGCCTTTTTGTACAAGTCGTCTAACAATGCATCCTCAGGTCGTAAACGTCATGCATTCTTCTCCTCGTCCACCGTCCTCTTTCCGGCCACAGAGAGTTCAATTCCAAAGTCTGCAACGGTCTCTAGTATTCGGGAGGCGTTCAGTCGACCATCCATGCGGCGTAAGGGGAGCGTGGGCTCGCTCACGCATAAGCGAAGCCTGTCGAACATAAGGGACGCACCTCAAAGAAACTTCCCCTTCTCCTTTGATCTGCCAACCGGACGACCTGGGGACGAGCTTCCACCTACATTTTCGTCGACAGCTGGTACTGGAAGCTCCTCCACGGATGCCGAGGAAATTGCATACAGGGTCGTATCTACCTGGGAGCCATTTGAAGATCCCGATGGGCGAGAAGTGTATGTTAACTTTTCACTCGTTTTGAATATCTCCATCTCACACTTATTTTGTTCAGCCTCGAAGTCCCGATTGTAGTTCAGCCCGACCATGAGTTTCAATCGTTCGATGGCTTGTCGAGCCCCGAATCATGGTTGGAGATACCACTCCGCTCGGATAGACCTATTCCTTACCACTGTGCCGTACGTTATCTCTCAATTTGTAAAACTGCTATTCGTTGAACCTTGGGACAACAGGTCACGCTTCCGACTCCCTCCTTGTTTTCTCGTAACAGCTCTTTACCTTACTTCGTCGTATTCTCCACAACACCGAAGAACCCTACATTGGCCCGAGAAGTCGCGATGGACGCTACTATCACTGTTTCTCTCCTACGACAAATCATCATCGATACGACACAATCCTCCCCAAGCCCGCGTCAATACCCTGTCGCTCCTCCGACACCTCCAAGCTCTGCTGGGGAAGACTCGGATTCTCAGTCAAGCATGCAACAACGGCGTGCAAGGCTCCTGAAACGCGTCGTCTCCAGCACCCCACCAAGTGCTATTGCGCCGCGCATGGGAAGAGGACGCAGCTCTTCGGTGTCGAGGGCGGACAAACCACTCCCTCAGGTCCCTCTTACCGTCACTGAATCGCTGATTGTGCAGACCAACGTCTCCGTCGGGTTCCCCAAACGTCCTCGGCACCACACGCCAACGACGCCTTCTGGTCATCCATCGTTGGGATCCCACACTGCACTTCCTGACGGGCTGTGTAAGGGACGGATGCAATTGAGTAAGGGGATGATGCCCGCCATTGACTGGCGCGGTGTCTCTGTGAGGGTACGCATTTCCCGTATATTATCAGAAGTGGACGTTGCTGATGGTGTTTCCCGCCTACAGTACTATCTGGAAGTCTCCGTGATGTACGGTCAAGACGACGTGCGAACCCGCGTCCCTGTCAAAATATATTGAACATACGAACTCAACGACTATTCACTCTTTTAAATGATGTTCGATACACTTTCACATAGGCTCGGCAGGACTACTTTCCTCCATTATTCCCTGATTGCCACTCGCACTTTTAGCTGCCGGACGTGCATGCGTTTATTACAATATCGTTATTATATTTCTTAGCGACTCTATATTCCTTTGGTATTATAAGCTTATGTTCACTTCCTTCGTGAATACTTCATTCTCTTGGTATAGGGGCTGGTCCTATCTTCGTTGCTTTTTTTCGTTGCTTTTACAGTTGTTTCCGAATTCGACTGGTGTACTTGCTTTCGTTACATTCGCATGGGTAAACGTTGATAAATTGAATTGGTCACGCACTGTACTTACTTACCACTATCAATGAATTCTGACACACGGTTTCAACACGGTTTCGCCATTGACATTTTGGACACATGTACTCATTGGAAAGAGACGTCGTCCAAGGCGTTCTAGTTGCCGCAACAAGAGAACACAATTGGAATTTGGGACGCGACGCGTTAGTGCACGTGGTCGCGTCGAGGTGCGGGCCGTTGCGGACCGTCCTCAGTTAACACACCTGGCTTTCCGACCAACTTCATGTCAGACTCAGGGCTCGATACATCTGCTTCATAACTTGGATTTTTACTGTTATAATATACTGGGAGACCTGAAGCATGACAGAACACCCTACGCTGTCATGGGAGGCCATGCAAGATAGTAATGTCTTCTACCGACGGCAGCAAGTCTACTCCATACACGGGAAACTTCCCAACCTTGGCGATTGTATCGTGGCGGGATGTCGATATGGCGGTCCAATAGGTATGAATTTTACATGCATTATGGTGCAATGCCATGTTCAAACGATGTCTAGCTCTAATGCGGGACAATACCAAGATGATTGCGCTTGGACGCGCCACACCCGTGTTCGCGAAAGCTCAGATTCAGGTGTTCTCGCCGGCGGGTGAAGGACGATTACTATTCAGTGTGGATATATTTCACTTCTGCGAGGCCGAATATGCGTGCTGACTATGCTATACGATAGTGGGACCAGGGAAAGATCATTCGCTTCGGTTGGACGGGTGACGAGAGACTCGTCGTCTTGAACGAGGAAGGCGTCTACCGACTATACGACCTTCAAGGAGATTACGCGCAGTTTTCGTTAGGAAGCGACGCAACAGAAGTTGGGATCATTGATGCAAAGATACACGAGAATGGGCTGGTGGCTATGACTGGAACGTTACAGCTCTTGGAGGTGAAGGGGTGGGAAGGAGCGAAGCCACTGACGCTTGCGAATCCAGGTGAGTACTTTTACTGCTATCGGTATAACTATGGTTGACCCATACAACGAGACAGGGATGTCGGAGCCGCCACATGCATGGACTATCATCCCTCCAGATTTCACCCTTTCACGACATGTCGAAGTGCTGCTCTCCGTCGATTCCAGCATTCTCTCCGTAGACAACTTAGAAACCATCGACCAACGGCTTTCCCGCGGCCCCTTCTCCTACATGTCCGCCTCCCCGAACGGAAAGTCTCTCGCAATGCTCACGGTGACTGGCACGCTCTGGGTTGTGTCGACAGACTTCCAGAGAAACCTCGCGGAGTTCGATACGTCACAAGTAATTGGAGCGGATGGACCTGTAAGGCAGGTAGAATGGTGTGGGAACGACGCTATCTTGGTGACTTGGGATGGACTCGCTGTTCTTGTCGGTCCATTTGGTGATACTCTGCAGTATGTATATTTACTCTCTCATGCGGTGCCACATTGATTGTGTGGCGAGTAGGTATTTCTATTCGGGTCCAATATTCGCTGTCACCGAACTCGATGGAGTGCGGGTTATTGGACCAGATGTCTGCGACTTCATCCAGAAAGTCCCGGGTACGGTACATTTTACATGCTCTGCATGTTGTATTCTATCTTCTCATTGTATTTTTGCCTGTTCAGCCGCCTCAGTTTCCGTCTTCCGTCCAGGCTCAACATCGCCAGCTGCTATCTTATACGACGCCTGGGAGAACTTCAGTAATAGGTCACCGAAGGCGGACGAGAATATCCGGAGCATACGTCCTGAGTTAGCTGCTGCTGTCGACGAGATGATTGATGCAGCGGGCCATGAGTGGGAGCCAGTGTGGCAACGCAAGCTACTGAACGTAAGTTTCTCAATGCTGTTGATGTATAGATCTCCTCACGAGCCTTTTGCAGGCTGCGAAATTCGGAAGGGCTTTCTTGGACTTATACAACCCCACAGACTTCGTGAACATGGGCCAAACCCTCAAGGTGCTCAATGCTGTTCGATTTTACGAAATTGGGATCCCTATCACATATTCTCAGTACGAGTACTCCACCGTTCCTTTACTACATTGAGGCTGACTTCCTTCCAGATATCAATACCTTTCCCCAAATCATCTCATCTCTCGACTCACTTCCCGCAACCTTCATCTCCTCGCTCTCCGCGTCTCATCCTTCCTCTCCCTCCCACCAAACAATGTCCTCAAACACTGGGCGTCCGCTAAGATTCTAAAGTCCAAGCCTACCACTACGGGTTCGGGCAAGGACGCTGAGCTGAGTGCGGATGACGAAGTTTGCAAGAGCATTGTGGACAAGTTCCAAGCACTGGGTGCCGGTGGGGTTAGTTATGCGGAGATTGCGAAGAAAGCTTGGGAAGTTGGAAGAACAGGGCTAGCTACGAGGGTCAGTTCTAGTTTGTTTCTCGAGCCGGTGCCAATGAGGCTCGTGCTAACGGTGCCGTTTGTATTTCCTCAGCTGTTGGACTATGAACCGAGAGCGTCAGATCAGGTCCCTCTACTCCTGTCCATGAAGGAGGACCGCCTCGCCCTACAAAAGGCGGTGGACAGCGGTGACACAGATCTCGGTGAGGATCCCCCATGTTCGTGCTCTCCAATCACTTACTCAACGGTACGGTGTGCAGTGTATCACGTCCTACTGCACCTCTACAATCGTCTTCCTTTGGGGACGTTCTTCCGACTGATCGAAGATGGCGGATCGAAGCTCGCGCCAGCGAGTAAATTGTTGCAGGTCTACGCTAGGGAACAGAACCGAGAGATGTTGCGCGATTTTTATTACTCCGACGATAGGCGAGTCGAAAGTGCTGTCTTGTGCTTGGACGAAGCGAGTCGCATGCAGGTGCGTGCCCTTAAACCTAATCAGTAGCATGCGAACTCTAAATGACTATTCGCTCTCTAGGATCCTGCGTCGAAGATGACATCTGTCAAAGCAGCTCAGAAGTTCTTTTCCGAAGACAAGGAGCGGACTTTTGAGGCGAAGGTCAGCACATCTCGGTTCTCGAGCTAAGTACCCGAACCTAAACATAATTCGTCATTTTAGTCGATGGATGAATATTCTCGCTTGCTTACGCTGCAACAACAGCTTGAGAAGGAAACCGACAATAAGATTCCCTTTTTTGGCGTCAGCATTAACGAGACGATACGGATATGCCTCGTCAATGGAATGTCAAAACGAGCCGACAAGGTCAAGTCGGACTTCAAAGTCCCAGACAAACGGTACATTGACTAAAGCTCACATTTCTGTGGGTACGATCGCTGATTTCCCGTAGGTTTTGGTATCTTAAGCTCCACGCCCTCACGTCCACCCGCGACTTTGAAGGGCTCGAGGCTTTCTCCAAGTCCAAACGGTCTCCGATCGGGTACGAAGCGTTTGTCCGTCACCTCGTCGAGAAGGGTTTCCCAAAGGAGGCCGCGACTTATGTCGCTAGGTGCGATGCGCCGAAGCGAGTCGACCTCTACGTGGAGTGCGGCGAGTGGAGGTCAGCGGGTCAGGAGTGTAAGGAGAGGGGCGATAAGGTGAAGCTCGAGTGAGTGTTTTTTGCTTGTCAAACTACCCGGTGGGGTTGTGGGTGCTGACTATGGCTGGGTCGGTACAGACAACTGAGAAAGAGAAGCCCAAATTCGATGATCTCTAGAGAGCTGGACCAAATTGCTTCGTCGATGAAGTAGTTGCGTTCCACGTATGGTCTCAACTGGATGTATATTAGAGAACCCTCGTTCGGTGCCTATTTGATACCTGTCTTTCAGCGATCGCCGCTGCTCGTACTCTATGACACTCGCAAGGGTGTGCAGCATTTCTGAAGGGTAATACATCGCCGTTGTGAACACCCCAGCCCACGGTTGGATCCTACATTCTTATGCTCTAAACCGCTCAAACCAATCCACTTCCGCCTCCCAACATACTCGTGCAGCTTCCACGCCATCGATCGGATGTGCCTCCCCTTTGAATTCCAGCATCTCGACTTCCATCCCTCTCCCCTTCAAAGCATGGTAGAACGCCCTACCATGCGTGTTCGCCACCCTACGATCGTCCAACCCCATGAGGAGCAATACAGGCGCTTTCACCTTGTCTACGTGCGATATAGCAGACATCGGCCACAATTTCTCGTAGGTGGATGGTGTTAGGAGTGTCTTGGCGTCAAAGTGGACACCAAATTCCTCGAAATACCAATCCGGAATATCGGAGTAGGATGGCTCGGGAGTTATCACGGGATTGAGAAGAACGCCAGCGGAGAAGAAGTCGGGATATTGTCCGAGGACTGTCATGAAAGATTCATTAGCACGAATGAACATCAAACGGAAGGAGTGATGGACGAACGATGACCGGCGATGAAACCTCCATGACTACCGCCCAAGACGAGTTGTTTACCAGGACCTTCCTCCGCCACACCGATCTCGATCAAATGCTTCACAGACGCCATAACGTCGTCTACGTCGAGCGTTCCACATTTTCCCACCAGTTTCTGCACGAAATCGTCTCCGTGACCAGTAGAGCCTGTGTAGTTGGGCATAGAAATGGTATCTATATCATGATGACGAACTGGTCAGGACGGCGAATATATGCAGATCGGTCGAGGTCGACTTACACCCTTGTAGGGCTAGTGCAATAACAACAGGATAGAAGCTGGTTAGGTAAGAACCATGAGGACCACCGTGGATCCAAGTCACCAACGGGCGTGCAGAGCGAGACGTGGTAGAGTCCAGTGGCAACGAGTGCTCGATTAAGATCATTTCGAAGGGTGATCGATCGGGTATGCGAACGACTGAGAGCTTCAATGATGATATAGCCGTTTGCACTGACGAAAGCACAAAACATCAGCAAGTCACGATAATATAGACAGGAGATAAAGACTCATGGACTCACGCTTCAGTGGAAGATGCACCTCATCAATGACTTGTAAACGAAGCGACGGCGATGTGGAGGAGCCTGTCAAGGTTCCCAGTAACAGCTGTGGAGGCCTGATAGACGAGCTTCTCCAAAGGAGAACGTTATGGCCACCATCTGTGGCGATGACGTTCCAGCACCAATGATCAAAATACACCTCCCCTGCGACCGCGCTTCGACGAGTGAGGAAGACGACGTGGCATGGCTCGGTCGTATCGATCAAGAGTATCTCCTGTTTGGTTCCCGAACCAGACTGAGCAATCATGTAAGTTTTCCCATTGAAAACTAGGAAAGGTTGTTTGGGGATCCCTGGGATCAACCCACTGAAACCTGCCATGAAGGAAGTGTCGGGCTTCGAAACGACTGGAATGAGTTCAGTAGATTTCCTTGCTTGAAGGTCGAATGAGTGGAGTGAGAAGCAAGAAAAGTGTGCGCCACCGGTAGCATGGGACAGCCAGAGAGCGGTGCTATGCCCAGAGGTCGGATCCTTGTATACTCGAGGAAACCTCGAGGATAGAGTCGAGTTGGAGATTATGGTGGGTGAAATTATGGTACAGCTGGCCAACTTCTTGTCCTCCCCGGCCGTCTTCTTGTCCTCGACCTTGGTAATGTCGAATCGAAGTTCCCACACCGCGCAAGGGCGGTTCGCGCACCATATCGTCCCAAGGCGGCGGCCATCCTCTGTGTACTGATATCCCGTAGCTATAATGGTGTCATCCTGGGCGAAGACTGCCTGTCCAAAAATGACACAGGGAGATGCCAATTTGTCCTTAGGGAGCTCGAGGCTTTGCACCGTCATTTCTGACATCGCTTCATCTTCTGTTTGTTTCCAAACCGCCACGAATAAAGTGGGGCGCCTCAGTCCAGTCATGCTCTCTCCGCCGTCTGGAATGTAGCGAAAGCGTGCATATGGGTCTGCATCCTCTGTAGCTATCTCGTTCGCTTCGGCGCTATACACCAGAGCATTCTCCGACGGTGAGAACGAAAGGGACTTGAAGTCGGCTACATGTCCAGGTGGAGATTTTGAGTGAGATTTGTCAAATGAGTGGTACGGGGTCTTGAATGATGTTGACATACAAGAACTATAGAAAGAGCCATGTAGGGAAGTGACTTCTAACTCCGCCTCGAGGCGGGATTCCTGAGTGTACCAAATCTCGACGAAGCGCTTCTTGATCCCATCGGTGGACGTCTCCCGAAGGATTGCGTTGAACGTCCGGGACGGCGAGTATAGAGTAGCTTGGATGTCCGATGAAACGTCCTGGGGTAACGATCTGGTGACCTTCAAGTCTCCGGTCTCCCATTCGGTCGCGAAGAAGATCGTCTTCAAGAATGAACGCCTGGTATTACGGATATGGTCTTGAAAAGACGAAGTTACACTGATGACTGCCAATGACCAAGGGGGTTATAGCGAGCAGGGATTAGATTCAGAATGATTGTTGAGACGTGAGGGATGAGACACGCACCGCCATCTCCTACAAACTCTGCCGAGCTGTAGGAAGGAAGACTGGTGAGCGCTTTGTAGAGACGTTTACCTTTGACCCCAGACATGACAGTCGAAGAGTCAGATACTGCAATGGAGGAAGGTAGAAGTTTGGGCTTTGTTGAACGGTTTCGCAGAAAACGTATTTTCCAAGTTGATAACACCTGATGGTATCGATAAGGTTGTATATATCGCTCCAGGATATAGTAGGTACACGACGATACACTGGCGGTGAAACTTGACTGTGCCCGGATGGTCCGAACGGAGGCTTCGAACTTACGGTCAACAAAATGATTGATTATCCCGACAACATGGCGTTCAGCCCCGGCAAGTTCCGCTGCACACGCCACATCGTTAAGACGGCCAACTTGAAATTTATCGTGACCATTGTCTCTCTTGCTCGCTCACTAATCGCTCACTGACGGCTTGGGTCCGGGACGCATCAAGCAATCTCCGAGCAAAAACTTTGATACTCTCCTCTTGGTAGTTGAATTCTTGCGCTTAGGCCCAAGTTCAAGTTGTCCTGTCCGATGTCGCCGTTGGTGGCTGCTTCAGCCTTGGTCCAGCCTTGTTTTACTCTTTTCGTGTGACACCAGCATCTTCACCGACGAAGATTTGTTATGCCTTCACCTTGCCTTGCCAACATGTGTCGGCGCGTAAAAACAGATTGGACTGAAGCCAGTGCAGATGTCATACCTGACTCCGTCTACCAAGGCAAACCCCTGGTTCACTACAATGAAGTAGACATCAGTATTCCTCCGTTTCAATATTTTGGTTTGCAAATACTAACCAGTAATAATGGGGTATTGTGTAGTTCATAACGGTCGATTAGAAGCAACGGTCCGTGTCGGCGACTAGTCAGTCTTCGTCCTCTTTCGTGAATCGCCGTGCGGCTGACCGTTAGTATTGTGACTCTCAGCATCTACGCAATTCCGGTAAAAGAAATATGGCCGAAAGGAACAAAGGATGTTCATGAATTCAGGGAAAAAGGAAGTAGGAGTGGTAACATCTACCGTATCGGGTTGGTTCATGAGATCTTCGCTGTCCAAAAGCAGAATATCCCTGTAGGTGCGATCAAGAGGCTTTCCTGAACCTCTGTGCACTAATTCTTGACTCTTCAGGATAAGTTCTTGGAGCCATTATTCAGGGTTCGATGGTTGAATGGTGCACAATGGATGTTCGACAATTATGAGGATTCAGAGGCTCGGTACGTGCTATATGTATCGTCCAAACATATATTATGCAGTACCTAGTTAATATCTGCCACCGGCGAATGATTCAACAGCCATCTCTCTGCCCTCAGCCCGTATGAACATGTCTTAATCGAAGATCCGAATTATGTCGTAGTCCATCCTTTATCTATAATTGAAGGTACCAATGACACTTCCAGAGCTCTTGTAATCAATTGTTCAATACTAATGTGTGTCGCGATGCTATGTAGGTGTATGTGACCTGCAAAAGTTCGACGATGGCAACAACACCAATATGCCTTATATGGACTACGATGACACACGACACTGATGAAATCCCCATAATTCATGTGAGTGACGGTGGTTAGATGTTTTCTTGTTCATTATGCTCATGAAACTCCATGCATTTTAGTGGGTTAAAATCTGCTACAACGGATGCAGGAGAGGAAATATATACAACACCGTTGAAGACGAGCTTCGCTGGTGTTCAAAATGCAGACTTTGGGTCCACGCCGCCTGCAGCGAAATTCTCGATCTGACCGCCGAAGACATCCCGGCCTGGCTCGACTCGAACGACCAGGCGTATATTCTGCATGATTGGGATGAAACGGTTGATCCATCCCTCCCTACCGGTAACGCCATCGCCGCTCTCCCTATCGCTCGATATCCCATGTGCGGCACCCCACACAGCCTGGAGAAGGTTATCGTTTTGGCAAGGGAGAAGTTAACATGGGCAGAGGATAGCGGTTATCAGTTAGATTATGACAAGTTCATCGAGCAAGCCAAAGCAAACCCTGATCCTGCTTTTGTGAAGAAAGGGGTTGAAGAAGAGATTCGGGAAGCGTTGAAGAACAGCCCAGTCTTCTACTATTGTCCTAAGTGCTGTGACTTTTCTGTTTGACCGGATTTACCAGCTGTCTTGATTTCTTGTACGTCCGCTGTGTTACTTCGATCCTTTTGATCTGCTTTGTATACATTTTCATGGTTGGGATTGCGCCTTGATGCAGTCTTTATTCTTGACGATGACTGAGACGCCAGCGTAGACACTGGCTGCGGGCTCCAAGAAGGCTGAACATCGCAGTAAAATGACTGCTGCGTAGACACAGAAACAATTCGAAAGCGAGAGCGGACATGAAACCGTATGAAAGCGGAAGCGAAGTAACGAACACGAAGCATATATACAGACAAGACACCAGAGCAAGCTGCCAGACTATGAAAGTAGAATCGAGAAATCCCAGAATATGTGAAAAGAGTGGACTGTGACCGGAAACGAAGTATGTAAACCATCGACGGTAATTTTATCCAATAAAATGTATGTAAAATGAACGACTGTGATGCAAGTCTATCATTGAGTCTATTTTGTCTATGAAGGTGAAACCCTACCGCACTCTCCGACTTCCACACGCCAAGCTACCCACAAGCCACCGATACCTTCAACCTTTTCGAACTCGGACTCCAAGTACCCCGTACCATCTTACCACATAGCCCTATCTTCCCTTCTTCGCACCCTTCGCGCCGCTAATACGTCCAACGCCACTAATCCCAGTCTCGTCCTCGTCCGATTCCGGTAGGACGTCGTCAAACGAATATGGGAGAGGTACTTCCCGCGTGATACGGTACTGATCCATGTTACCTAGATGTTCGTTCTCGAGACGATCTATACACATCTTAGCCATGCTGTACTTCCTAGAAAGAAAGAAAGCTACGCACAGAAGTTCCATTGCCACCGTCGTAAAATCTCAAGCATGCCCGTTATCCACGTCCTGAACGGCATCCCAGGACCGGCGTCCGGGATGTAAAGCACCCAGATGAAGCGGATGAGGATGTTTGTAACCTAGACAATTATCGCGGTCAACAACACATCAGACTCTGTGGTTCTGCATTGTGAAGGAGAGAGCAAATATGGGCTTACAATGGCGAAATAATACAGCTGTGCGATTTGAGGGGATGAAAGTCAGAGAGCGCATACGATAGGAAGAAAGAAGAAGTTATGCGCACGGGTATATAACTAGAATACAGTAGTTCCGGCCTAAGGAAAGGATACCTCGCGTGCGGTTTCATGATCGACCAGTCCATCAGCAAGTCCTATCCATGATCGAGAATGGGTCAGTCGCTTTCGAACGAGCTACACCCTAGCCAAAAACAAGGGTTATAAGGAGGACTCACCCAAGACGAAGCATAGATGGCGTATATCGAGCCAAGGAGAACAAAGAAGACAAAGTCAACTCCACGACCTCGTCCTGCTCATCGTTTCAGCTTTGCGCTCATATCGTCCCGAGTTCAAAATACGAAGGAGACTCACCATTATGTCTCCAGATATGATAAATCAAAAGATACACAATTCCAGTTGCGTACTTCCCTCCCTATTCCATTCCAATGTCAGCCTGATCTCCATCAACCCAAAAGGGGGCGCAGAAGCACTCACATTGATCAAATGCGTGATCAACCCCGAATCGCTATAACGTCTTATACTCTGTACCAACCGGATCAAGAACGGCAGCGCAGAGAGCACGAAGTGGACCGCCCATTGGTTCGAGACTTGACAGTGATCCCAGGGTTTGTCGTCTTCGAAGCCGATGGAGTAGGCACAGCCGATGAACCAGATATTGCTGACGGAGAAGACTAAGGAGCAGAATTGGTCGCTGTGTGGGGTCGGTCACCGAGGTGATTGGGAAGACATGCAAATGTAAGGGTAAGTCAGTCTCCCGTCATTTGACTGACGACGTGGACAAGGGACGTACCCCAACCAGAAATCTGCGAACTACATCCAAATCAAAGGAGGATAAGCACGCTCGAACATCAAAGTTCGCCTCTTATATGGGTAGGGTAGCGAGCACACACCTCGACGCGATGCAACCCACTCGTCAACAATCTCCCCACATTCCTCAAGAACCAAAACCTAGTACTCCTCGACAGTACCGGTATCGGATTCACCATCAACACGAGCATGAAAAGTAGCCACACGAGGGGCCATATTGTCGCTGAGACGCTGTCCCCGCCTATACGAGCGAAGGATAGCCAGAACGCATAGCATAGAGAAGCGCACGCAATAGCTGGGATCTGTTCGATCAAGACAGTAAACAGTATGTTGAGCGAACGGATAGTGGGGATGACAGCAGGGAGAACACACCTCGAAATATTCCCTATGATCCAGTAATGTCCGTATATCAAGTTCTGATCAACGCCAACCAACCGCCAACCATAAACCGAAAAGCCAAAAAGACCTGAATCAACCGAGTGGGAGGGGACGAAGACAGCATAACTCACCGAATATAAACACGTAATTGATCCTCGAAACGTTCCACACCAACAGATTCAGCCCCACCAAACACGAGAAGATTGCCGGCGTGGACAGGATAGCATAAATGAACAATAACGGGCTCCACGGGATCTTCGCTCTCGTCTCTGGCTGGAAACCTATTCATCAATGACCAGTCAGTCTACGGCTTTCGCGCGTTCTCTATGACGCAAAATGGCCGAATCTACCCATACATGACGAAAGTAGGGCAGGCGAAGGGAAGGATAGGAGAAATGCAAAAGGGAAGGAAAAGTACGAACTCTGATAGATCCCCGAAACAAGCGCCGGAATCGCCAGCCCCAACATCGCTCCCGTCCTAAAACTGCTAAAATGGTGGGTTTTCCGCGATCCCTCCGCGCGCAGGCGATACAACGCCTTCTTCTTGTCTCCTCGGGCTACACAAACATAGATCGACCAGGTGGCAGGTCAGTATTATTGCGCAGATTACATAGAGCGGGGAGTGGTGGTAGCGGCGGTGAAGAGTGTAAAAAAAGGGAAATGGAACGAGAGGATGAAAGAGCACACGCACTGAATCGTGCCGCGAACTGATCCTCCATATCCTTCAACAACGCCTGCACGGTCTCGTCGCTCGCGAACGCGCTCAGCTCGACGCGTTCTTTCATGTATGGTTGTTGGAGCGGGATCTGTGCGCACAGTCCGATGTCAGCATAATGCGATCGGAAGTATTCGCTGGTGAGCTTGGAGAAGAAAGCGAGAAGAAGGAGAGAATAAGCGGACCTTGGTGATCTTCTCGAACTTTTTGAGCGCTTTTCGGAAGCCTGTGAGGTTGAGGATCTACACATAACGGACGTACCACACCAGTTGAGTGCAACAAAGTATGGAAGGTAAGGAGTGATACTCACACGATAGTTGTTCAGTACCTCGAGACCCCTATTCATCCAGCGCCACACCACGCCACACGTCCAAACAAAACCCCCAATTCACCAAACGACCAGTGAAAAATAAAAACACTTTAGCGACGAGTACACACAACAAAAGATGAAACATGAGAGATATACGGACGAACATACCGATAATACTCCAAAACCGCCTTCTTCAACCTCTTCCTCGCATGCTGATACTCCTCCGGGTTCAGCTTCCCATTCGTGTGTTTCCCGTTGCCCAGTCCATTGCCATTACCGTTCGCATGACCCCCATTTCCACTTCCGCTGGCCTCACGATCGCGAGACGAATCCCTATCCTTTCCCCTCCAATGTCCATTCCCATTCGCCCTCGGCTCCATAGGCACATCATTCGCCACCCCTCCCGCAAGCCCATCCACCTCCGCCTCTCCATCCTTCTCCGCATCCGGTTCCCCGCTCCCACCTCCAAAGATCGTCAACTCCGGCTCGTCCTTTTCCCTCTCCTCGAGCGGACCTGCAACACTGGATGCGTGATGCCGATGTACCGCTCTTCGGACGAGTCTTGACGTTTGGCTGCCCGGGAGAGGTATGAAAGGGAGGGACCAGGGATGATGGTTGGGTGGGTGGGCTTCCTGTGAAGGATGATCGACACGAGAGGGATAATGTGGTTATTGTCAGCGTTTGTGTTGGTCGTAGTGTCAGTATTAGGCTAAACGCAGAGGGAGAGAGAGAAGCACACATAAAAAACCCGCCTATGATCCCCCAACTCCCTCAACTGCTCCCTCAAAACCCTCCCCCTCTCTCTTGCCTCTCCCTCCCTAGCCAAATAAAACGCCTCGATCTTCGCGAGCTCGTGCTCCAACTTTTCGATGTACGCGACTTGGGCTGGCGAGGAGGACATGCGGGTGAGGAGTTCGGAGAGGGTGGGAGGGTTGGCGGTGGGGAAGAACATGGAGGAGCGAGAGGTTGAGAGGTTGTGGGCGTTGGGAGGGGTGTTGGCGTTGGGATTGGCGGGATTGGGAGAGGTGGAGGAGAAGAGGTTGGGGGCGAGGGTGGAGCGGGAGCGGGTGTGGAGTGTCGTGAATGTGTTTGAACGGACTATTGTGTTTGTTTAAGCGTTTTTTTTCGGTTCGGTCAGTGTTTAGATGTGGATGTGACGGGGGGGCGGGGATGGGGACAAGGTTGAGAGTTACTGTACCTCGGACCTTGGAAGCTCGGTTACGTATGGTGTTGATCACGCCCGAGGAGGTCCCGCTCGCGACGCCATTGGCACTGGCATTATTCGTCGGAGGGAGGGGGTCGTCTTGTTCTGTGGTGGGCGACAGTGGTGAAACGGGTGAGGTGACAAAGGTGGTATCCTAGAACCATAATCAAAGTCAGAGCCAAGGAAGGCGAGGTAAAAGAGTTACAGGGGTAAGAACAGGATCGGTGAAAGGAGAAAGGACGCACCCTTGGTCTCCGAGACGTCGATATCGACAGTTTGAGCGGCGCAGATTTCGACGAGTCGTTTCCTTTCTTGAGTGAACTACGTCCCCGACGTTGTTCGCCTTCGACTTCTCCTTCACCCTCAGCATCCTCGTCCTCCGAATTATCTTCATTGTCTCCTAGCTCCGCATCCGCTTCCTTTTCAACATCAACGTCCTCGCCAGCCAAATCCTCCTTCGCTACAGAACCCCACCTTCCGTCCCTCCCCACCTCTCTCGGTCTTTCCTTCTCCTTTTCAACACTCACACCCCTCTCCTGCCTCTCTCCCTTCTCTTTCTCCCTCTCGATCTCGATCACCCCCATCTTCTCTCCATCCCCAACATACGGCTCGACCGGAATATCGCTCTTTTCCATACTCACAGGCGACATCCGTTTCTGCGTATCCGAGCCCTCCCCATCCGCGTCATGCTCATGTTCAGGTTCGGATGAATCCTGCGCAGGCGATGCGGCTCCGCCTTCTTGTGCGCGTCGGACGGCGGTGATGCGTTTTTTGAGGCCGCGGTAGTCGCTGTTACGTGTGCGTGTGCGGAGGGTCGGTGTCAAGTGTTAGATGCTAGTAGGAGTATGTAAAGAGGAGGAGGGGAGGACTTGCATGTAGGCACGTTTCCATTCTGGTGCCTGGTGTTTGGTGAGCGGGTAGTAGAGCGAGGTCGAGGCCGAGAGGATGAAGGAGAGAATGGAGCGTACCTGGGCATCGTCTAGATATCTGTTGATATTAATGTGAACATGTAGGGCGGGTTTGAAAGAGAGGTGAAGACGGACCGTGCAAATTTCATGGTGGGTCGTTACTTAATTTTGAATATTAAACGGTGCGTCGGTGACGATTCAGATGAGCTGTTACTACCAAGTAGTCTGCTTGAGTGAAGAGCTCCAACGCGGGAACACACTTGGTCTTGCAGTTGAACCTCAGCGAGACAAGAGAAACAAGGAAAGAAAGAAAGGATGGCACGCCACACTATTCAAACTCAACAGTATAAAAGCAGGCTAGACGACTGTGTGTGGCGAAGGTGCGTTGCCAGCACTGTCGAAGGTGTGGTTCTGAAACAAACGCAAGCGAATGAAAACTGTGCATGTTTGCAACGTGCGCCAGTTCCTCGGCCTTTGAGCATGAGACGCGGTGATAATATTAGATGACGTCACGCGTTCATGCGCGCCTTCCTCGTTTCCTCCATCTCACCCATCATGACATTTCGGTACTTGACAAAGACGATATTTTTGCACGGACGTGCGTCAGCTTGAAGACTTGGGGGAAGGAAGAATGTGTCGCTAAGATCCCGGCACCTGGTGTGCTCTCTCGGTTCGTTTTTGTTGTTCTCAGGCTGAAGCAGTCACTTTGAGCATAATGTACGATACTTCTGTTCAGGATTCTACATAGGCCACTTTAATTTTCATGCTGCAAATACATAGAGCCGCAAGCAATCATGGATAAACACATCATACCATACACGGGAAGAGTTAAGACTAGAAGTATTTTTCGGAGCGGAAGGAGAAATTCAGACAACAGTATAGACTAGTACAGCATCAACTAGCCATGGACAGCAGAATTGAATAATATATATACTGTAACCCGTGTGCCTCGCAAAAAAAAACAAGAAAGGAGGCAAGACTCGGAGAATTTCCACAAGTGACTCAACCATCTATGTAACAAGCCGAGGAGTCTACAGAGGGAAAACTCAAAGGGCAGACTGACTCGCACATTGGGCCCATTCAGTACCGTACTTGAATCGAGTGAAGTCAAGGTAGAGAGCTTCTTTACCGAATACTGCCCGGCATCCTGGCCAGTTTACTATACGATCACGCAAGTGTAGCGGAACCCAGATGAGCAGTCTCTTATCTGGTTCTATAATCCAAGAGGTAGTAATCAGCACAAATTCCTCTGTCCTGTCCCACAATGCATTTTGAAGCAGAGACTCGGACTGGTTCGGTGGTCGCATTGGTAGTGTGACCGGCGAAGGATGGTGAGCGAGAAGAGTTCGCACTGCTGTGACGTTCTCGTCACCCTCGACGTCCCATATCCGCATGGTCCCGTCCCTTGAGCAAGAGCCAATTCGTCTCTCATGAGATGAGAGTACCAGAATAGATATACTATATGTATGTCCATGAAGAATCCTAAGAGTCTTTCCACTGTCAATGTCCCAGAACCGGATCCGACAATCGCGAGAGCCAGAGACCACTCTCTTCCCATCAGAAAGAAACACAACAGAGTTGACCGGATTGTAGTATTCGTCTTCTTTGACCGTCCGTAACAACTCACCGCTCTCGGCATTCCAAACACGAATGGTTGCGTAGTTGGCAGAGCCAGAGACAACGGTCCCTTTGTTCGGCGAGAATGCGACTGACTGCACCCAGCTTGTGTGCCCCTCTAGTGTCCTTAGCATTTCGCCGCTCTCAAAATCCCAAATGCGGACAGTTTTGTCGGCAGAGCCAGATACGATCTTTGTCCTGTCGGGTGAAATAGCAATAGACAAGATCGCACTTGTGTGTCCTGTGAGTGTCTTCACCTCCTTGCCGTTCTCAACATCCCAAATCCGGAGGGTACAATCCCTTGAGCCGGAGACCACTCTTCGCCCGTCAGGGGAGAACACAATGCAGAAGACTACTTTTTCATGGCCTTGCAGTGGCTCCAGTAGCTGAACACCGCTCTCAGTGTCCCAGAGCTGAATTGTGCCATCATCAGAGCTATAGCCAAGGATGTTTCCGTCAGGAGAGAACGCGGCACAATGGATCTCATTAGTATGCCCTTCCCAAAGTCTGGCCACCTCCCTGGCACCCTCAGTATCCCACACTTGGATGGCACCGTCGTTGCTGACAGAGATGATCCTTCGTCCGTCAGGCAAGAATGCAGCAGACAATATCTGGTACACTTCATCATCACGGGAGGTATTTGCCAGTTCGTTTGGGGTCTCAGTATCCCAGATGCGAACGGAGCCGTCCAATGACCCCGAGACTGCCCTTCGACCATCAGGCGAAACGGCGACTGAGTGTACAATGTTGGTGTGGCCTCTGAACGGATCTGAGATTTCCTTGCCACTTTCAACACTCCGACAGCAAACAGTATGGTCGCCATGGGCAGAGAAGATTCTGCCTCCATCGGGCAAAAAAGCAATTGCATATATCATGCTAGTATATGCTCGTGGTCCTGGTACCACATTGCCAGTGTCACCATCCCAAATGCGCATGGTATAATCATAGGAACCGGATGCGATTATTTGTCCATCTGGAGAGAACAATACACAGGTAACCGAAGATGTGTGGCCTTCCAACGATACAACTTGTGCACCAGTGGCAACATCCCAAAGTCGGATGGTGCAGTCTTGAGCGCCTGTGACAAGTCTGTGACCATCAGGCGAAAAAGCAGCACAGAGAACCGCCTCCTTGTGTCCTAGCAAAGACATTATCTCGACACCACTCCGAGTGTCCCACAGGCGGACAGTCTCGTCAGAAGACGCAGAAACAATGCTCTTCCCATTCGGAGCAAACGCAACGGCATTGACTGGGAGTGTATGCCCTCGTAAACATCTCACTTCATCGCCAGTCTCAATGTTCCACAAACGGACAGTTTCGTCCTCGGAACCAGAGGCAAGCATTTTCCCGTCAGGTGAAAACGAGATGGACCAAACCACCCAGCTATGGCCTCTGAATGGGGTTGAGACCTCCTCGCCGCTGTCAGCGTCCCACAGATGGATGCTGCAATCACCCATGCCAGCAGCAACCTTCGTGCCATCGGGGGAATATTGCACACAGTAAACTGTAGAAGCGCATGTAATCACCATCAGACAGGGGTCAGGTCTGAGAAGCAATGGAGGATCACAAGCAACAGTATTAGGGAAAAGGTCTCGATAAGCCTGTGAGATCTGAGATGCAGGAGGTGTGAATGGCAGAGCAGAGATGTAGATATGTGACACACTATCCATGATCGGCTTTGTGAAGTCAGTCAGGAATGTTCGCGCATCTCTCAGAAATTCTGTAAAATTCGATGGTTGATCTCGTAGCTGGGTGGGTCAGGAAAAAAGCATCATCAGTCAAATGAAGGTGACCGAGTGCAAAGATGAATTGACCTTGGTGTACAGAAGAATCTTCATGAGTTTAGCAGGACCAACATTGACAAGGCCTAGGGTGCTGAGCACCTCAACCCAGTAGAGGAACTTGGATCGCAGACACGACTCCATCGTCATGAACAGATTCGCAGGTTGGCTGGACGCGACGACGTGGTCCTGCCAATAACGACAAGCATACGAGACCTCGGTAGAGATGGTAGCCAATTGTTGCTTCTCGTTCGGAAGGCACGAGGATGAAGCTCCGGCTATGTTGAAGTGAAGCTTCATGGACATGATGTCAAGACATCCATAGGCAAGGTTGAGGTTCGCCTCTTGGGGATCTACGAACCATGCTTTCCCCGATTGATGTGTGTCCTGCAAATAATCCGGAAACGATGCATGAAAGGTTGTGATAGTGCTGTGGTTGTTGTCTGGTATGTAAAGCAAAGAATGCAGACCCGAAAGTGCGAACAAAATCCGTCGAGCAGGCAATTTAAGGAATTGACCGAGGTCCTCGATCGTCAGAACATCGCGAGCGCAGACGATTGCACAAAGGCAGCGCTGTGTGATCTCAGCCTCATTTTGCTCAAATTTACCAAAAACCCCCGTCAGAATGTGATTGTAGATGGCATACACGGGTTCTTTGGCCAGTACCAAATCACTGTTCCGAGAAGTCAGCTGTTCAAGGCGGAATTCGGCATCGCCTTCGGTAATATATTTCACTGCTGTCGAGGCGTAGATGAAGAACATCCCAGAGCTCTTCGTCAAGACTGAAATGTCTGCGTCTGGTGGCCAAGACTCATCCATCGAACAAAGGCGTTGATCGCGAGCGAGCGCGGTCAGTTCGTGGCGCAGATAGCGTGCAATGTCGTCCTGAACGATAGCCTGGTCGACGTCGTGAAGGCGAAGGATTTTAGGATACTGTGAGAAAAGTGCGTCCCGGATCTGGCGCTCAGGTCTACTCGTTACGAAGAACTTCACTCGAGAATTCGGTGCGTGCTTCAAGACTGCGCGAAGGAGCTGAGCTGTAGCATCGCGATCATCGCACTCGTCTAGCGCGTCGACAACGAACACAAACGTTGGAGACGGTGCATGATAAGCTTGGTCGAGTGGATCTCCCAGGAGAGTATTAAACTGATCCTCGAGGGTGAGGACGTGGATGAGTGGTGGCTTATTACCAAATGCGGATGTTCGTGCATTTCTGTATGCAGGAAAGACAGTTCCCAGGGAATCACTCAGTCCTGGGAGTATATTCTTGACGTTCCTCTCCGCCTGGCCGCCTTCCCGAGAGCACAGAAACCAGCCGCCCAGAGTACGTTTCTCAAGTAGAAGACGGATGAAGGACAGAGCGATGGCAGTCTTGCCCGTTCCTGCCATTCCGTTGAGCCAGTAGACATGAGCGGAGTGAGGATCCTCCGCCCACACAACGAGATCGCGGAGGATGTGAATGCGGGTTCCAGGAAGGCATCCGGTCTTGTTCGGTATGGTGCTGAGTCTGGCGAGGAGGTCTACGGGTAAACTTGTGAACTCCAGCATAACCCTGCAGAAGGCAGACCTTCTTACCAGCTTCCACATTTTCGTTCACAATCTGGAGTCGAGCGGTGAATTTCGATCAGCATCATGTACGACAATGGACTATAGAATACTAGCAGGGATACAAGCCCGTACCTGCTGCATGTTTTCAACCACTACATTTGTGTGCATCACCGTGTCCAGCTAGAATGGCGGATTCTTAGCTCAACAATCTCAAGGCAAGACTGTTGCACTTACCGTCACCAAGCCTTGTAGATCCTGGATCGTTTGGAGAACGTCTGCTACAAGCTCTGCATCATCTGACGATCCTACGATCCGCCATCCGAGGTTACGATCAAGTAGCGTCTCGAGTCTCTTGGTTTGTGCGTCAATCACTCTACAGCGTTATGTGGCCATTAGACAGTGCCATACATCGAGCGGATGATACGCTTACGCGCAAACCGAACTGATCCGCTCGTCAAGCCAGGATTTGTTGGACACGGTGGCTGTTGGCGCGGTTTTGTGTGCTTTGACAATGGCCAGCAGGCGGTCGAAAGTCTCGACGGCGCCTTTCACTTCGGCTGGGATACTCCTCACCTCCTAATGGTAGTCTCTTAGTAAGTCGTCCGTTGCGGTGAAGTGGGAAAGTATCATGATGCGTACATTGATACGCTCTAGAATCATAAGGAGACCTCCTGTGGCGGACTTCAACGGAGGAAACGCGTCCGCCCCTTCCTTTACGGCGCTCACTACCTGTGTTAAAATCGAGAGGCCCTTGTCGACCCTCGATTTAGTATTGGCCGTCGGGAGCAGAGATTGATATTGATCAGAAGGTGGAACAGTGACGGGATCAGATGGATTGACATTCGGGCGAGTCGTCGCGACAGAGCCCGCGGCGGCAAACGGAGGAGCTGGGCTGCGAGAGTGACTGAATGTGCGCTTGATGGTGCCGAGGAACCTCTCTGTCCGGCCTCGTTTGACGTTATTCATGATACACATAGATCACTGGGAAAAAGCCAGCCTTGAGTTCGATGAAGCGGAGAGATGCTCTGTGGGGCGAGGGGCGAGAGAGCGTGAGGGAAAGCCGGGCTCACCTAGACAGTACTTATCAGAGTCTACACGGCTGTACGTTGTTCTAGGGTTTGCGGCACTCTTGCGGGAGGCCATCAAGACAACTTCCATTGGCCTCCATACTTAGCTCTCGTCACAGGATATGCCGCATGTCTCCATCAGATACACGATGTAGGCCAAGAACACAGCCATTTTTAGAAAAGCCTCGCCAACTGCGTTCGGACTTGCGATCTTCTCTGCGAATGAGCTACGGGTGTTCTGTATGGGAGGGATGCGTCAATATTATCTTGCATGGTGACTGACGCGACTCATATTTCACTTACACTAATACTTACGGTCGCATTCTGAACGTTCATCATCACGGTTCACTCGAAGTCGACCTAACCCTCCGTCTAGCACCTCGCCACAGGTCTCTTGTCTCGTCCCTTACCGCTTTCACAACCTTTCTTCACCGATGTTTGCTCCCGCATCTCTACTCATATCTTTGATCTAGCGCTTATTCAAGCCACGCATAGAGCGTGCTCTTGTCCAGCGCAGCGCCACCGCCACAGGGATCCCCGTCTCTCCTCTCGTCCCTCATCGTCTCTACAGCTTCTCCTCAACTCCCAGTTCCATCTCTAAACACCCAGCCCGACTGTAGAATACCGTAAAAATACTTCTCATCTCCGTTCGAGCTCGTTATGGTGACCTATCAATGTGTGGATTATGAGAATTTCGAGAGAGTTAGGACGATGTTAACGGTGAGATCGTAAGGAGCGGGTAGTAGGTTCAACGAGAACAGTGCCGAAGACTAATGCCGTTGGTCGCTTGGAAAGTGCTAACGGACGAGAGGGGCGTCGCGGTCGAGTCAACGGAGTCGTCGAGATATACGTCGTAGTTGGGTCTAAGAGAGGGGAAGAATGTTGAGGTTAGATACGAGTCGGACAACGGAGATACAGGAAAAATCTGGAGGAGAAAGAGGAAACAGCGAGCGAATCTGCGCGCCAGAGCGACAACGTCGTCTCATGCGCGAATGCAACATATGCAGGCAGGGTCTAACGATAACCGATAGACCAAGGCCGCTCATAACACGAAGAAGGAGGGCGTACTTGCTATGAAAACAAAGGTCGAAGATGAAGGCTCACTCCCAAGATAGTTAGAGGTTCAAAGGTGTCGTGTTCCACGGGCGACCTCACATTCCCAAGTCCGAACAACCACTCCACGTCGCCCATCACCCTCGGAGTGAACTCTTCGGCCTTCAGCTTATAACCTCTCCACCATCTCAACCCTTTTCGTCCAACGCTCATCAGCGAACCCGCTTCCACCTACGCTCCGTAGAACGTCGTCACCATCCCAGCCACATCCTAACCCACGCCTTACATCGCCTTCTTCCGCGTCCTACGCGATATCCCCGCATCGCACACACTCTCCTTTCACTCCTCGTCCCCTCGATTCGTACCCGCGGAGACTCGGTCGCACTATCTCGTCCTGAGGTTGAACTAGTGTGTCGACAACGTCAGCAATTCAAATCGGCTCGGTCAAGCTGACGGAGGGATATATCCTCGCACTTCCTGGCAGCTTTGAGCGAAGGGAAAACGTCGAGTGCGCACGTAAGACGCGCGTGTCGTTGTGTGGTCCATCAGGCCCGAAGGTAGGAGGATGAGGGTGACGGTGTGGATGTGGGCCGCGTGGCGAGAGTCGAGGAGTACGTTGTGCATGGAATGATGACGAGCCAGTGATTTTAAACAAAAAAAAGAGAGTTGGCTGAAGTGGACCATAATGCGCGAAGAATAACACGGCGGTCAGCGAAAAGTCGTTCGAAGAGAGACATGGTGAGTACGGGATATGAATTGAGAAATCTGAAAGAGTCGACCGATGCATCAGCAGAGTACCATCGTGAGATTTGGACATGAATGAGTCTAGTTTCGAAGAGGTGTAAGGTGCGATGTGGCTCGGCGCGACTCTGCGTGTTTGTACATGATCGTTTTTAGCAACAGCGCTGCGAATTGTGATGGTGGAAGGACAAGGTGATCGTTTGCAACGCGAGCCATTTCCTCGGAAGTCCAACGCAACGATAATTGGATGACGTCACGCGTCTTCCTCGTTCTAGCTCGCCACATTCGATTCAACTCGCCGCCACCTGCTGTAAACTACACGACGATGGTTCCCCCCTTCCCGATCCCAAACTCACATCCAGCCATCATATTCGAGGTCTACGGCACCTTCAACTGGGGCGAAACAGGCATCCACCGCGCCCTTCCCCTCAATCTAACGCGTACTACTTAATATAGACCACCATAAAAGTCTACCGTCATCTGCTCGTAGAAGGTGTTTTGATACGCTGATCAGTATCCCTATATTACAGATGACATGAAGATGTTGTACCAACGTACCTTTTTTCCGACGCTCATTAGACCCGGTTACTTATCCCTTTTGTGGGCCAAATCTCCTTTCATCACCACAGGCATAACAAATCCATTATACACAAACGGAAGTCTACAGTGACTGATAGACCTCTGCCCCGGCCGATGGAAAGGGTTTGACGCAAATTGGTGACCATGTTCCTTAATAGAAGAGAATGTGCTGGAGATCAGCTCCTCGCGTTTCTCCTCGCTCATATCGTACTGCTGCCGTCTATCCAATACTAGTAGCTCTTGAAGTATGTTCGGCGGTAACCGTTTCTTCTGCATCCATAGCCCTTGTTCGTCGTATTCGGCTACTGCGAAGGGTATGTTATGGCTAGACAAATTAAGACATAACGCCACAAAGCATTAACATCGACTCGGAAATGATTAGTTAAGGTGAAAGGGAGGGAAACGATGTAACTTACATAGTAGCGCCCAAGACGGGATCAGACCATGTCGAATAGCTCGTCAGACCCGTATTCAACGCGACCATCGCGTCAGGATATTTCGACCCCGGAGAGAGCTGAGATTGCGTCGTCCATAGCTCGTTCTCGCTATGTATGCGAATAGCGATGGATCCCCCGCCAGTCTTCGGAGGAGCGGTGTAAGACCAAACGATGTCTTGTGAAGCGATGACTCGAGAACTCGGAGACGAGGCCAGTTTTTGTCGGGCTTTGTGCACGAGGTCGTAGCCTGCCTTGCCGAAGATGGTCAGATCGATGTGAGTGTCGGGCAGGAGAAGTGCTATTTCTGAGAATCTGGTACGAAGAAAAAACGATGGGGTTCTGTCAGTGGTGTACCTCTTCTAAAGCGAAGAAAGAGGTCTGGATAGGTACAAAGGGATGAAGTTCAACTCCACTTCCCCACCGAGATAATGAACGGTGATGACCGTGGGTGATGAGCCTCCGACCTGCTTCACATCCGCCACTCGCAGGACATTGACCAAAATATGGTGTACCGACAAGACGCGGTCCATGAGCAACGCCATAGGCGAAGACAGAGGCAACCCGCGCCATTTGTACCATGTCTCCCAATCCTTGACTTCGCCTGGCTCTGGCCTAGAAGGCGCATCACGCTCGTCTGCAAAAAACAATGTCGGTATCTGCGTATGATCAGAGAGTTTCCACTGGCGGTCGATCCTCGACAAAGACCATGCAGCATTGAGCATAACCTGTCCGTGCATGTAATCTGGGCTACCGCGTGGTCCGGTTGGCTCTGCCGGTAATCCTGTCGTCTCTTCGATTTCTGTAGGACTTTCGTCGTGGGTGCGGTGACCGTATGGGTGAGACCAATAGCCGAAGCGGAGACCCTCACCCAGGATGCCTAGACGTATTTTGACAACATCCCAGTTGAAAGAGTTGTCTTTCTCGAGCCGCGACCATGGAATATGGAGCAACTGTTCGCGGAAGTAGGGTGCATGTTTCATCCAGTCCTAATAGGTAAAAGCAGATTTGTAGAGCAGTATAGTAGAGCTTAGCGTGTGGTCTACAACGAGGGCAAAATGAAGGGAAAGGAGATTGAGCTGACTTGATACATAGGGCATATTTTCTTGTGCGTCCATTCGTGCCCAGTTCGAGGCTTCTTCCAGTGAAGTTGTTGGTACTGTAGCGCGGCATGATAGACTCGACAAACAACTACGATCACGAAGACTGAGCACTTACCTGTAGGCTGCAATAGACCGCCCCCTTACAGGCACCTGATCGGATGAGAATATCTCGATAGTGAGTATTGTGAAACTGAGTGTCTGTAACCCCAAAATATCGACATACTGCACACTTTGGCCTGCGTAGATACTAAGTCAGCAATATCTCCAGGTCGGAAACATAGGACTAGACACCCTACCGTCCCTTTGAATATCTCTCGACAGAAAATACACTGTGTGAAAGTGAACATGCTTAGAATTTGTTCGCCAAGACTAGACGAGCTAGACAAGAGCACGAACCACTGTGGGTTCGCTGAAATCGACAATGAATGGCCCCTTACGATGAAGGAGGCCTAGTTTCTGCAAGTTATCCATGAATAAGACATCGCGGTGCAGGGAGGCTAAGTATTGAGTATAATTCTCGACTGCGTCGGTGCTCATGTGTGACATAGTTGATAGCGTTTCTGGGGGACGTCGAACCAGAAGATGAGTAGACTTGGTCTGCGCCTTGGCGTCCACCGACCTCGTAGTACCCACGGGCACCACGCCACAACAATTGCTTATTTGTAGCTCAAATGTCAGATGATGGTCGCCAAAACCGCCTAAATCTGGCTGCTCTAAACCTGCATAGAACTTGAAGAAATGACGTATACGCGCACGGGACACGAGAGAAGGAACGCACCCGTTTCTATCATTTCTTCTTGTGTGGCCCTGCACAATCAATGTTCTGCACCAGAGGTTGAGCAAAAGATGGAGCGCTTGTGTAACTAACCATTTGGAAATGGGCGTACTGAACAGGTTGACCAATAATGTCATGATGACAGCACAACGAAGACCAGACTGACGAGGACAAAGTCGATGATACTCCAAAGCATGGTTCAAACGTCCGTTCTTCTGGGTTGAAATGTATTAAAGGAATGTTTTTAATGCGCGTAAATATAGAAAACAATCATACTGATGCAGGTCATCCATATTTCGAGTGCCAGTGTACTAGTTGTTGTTTGAAGCAAGGTGTCGGTGTCTGGAACGCGCGCCATTTCTTCGGAACTTGAGACGCGACGATACTGTACTTGGATGACGTCACGCGTTCATGTGCGTCTTCCTCGTTTCCTCCACTGCCAGCTCGCCACCTGCTATATACCACATCACATTGTACCATATTATTACCAACGATGTCCTCCCCGCTCCCCGAACCCAAACTCACACAATTCAAAGCCATCATCTTCGACGTCTACGGCACCCTCATCGACCGCGAAACAGGCATCCACCGCGCCCTCCTCCCCCTCCTCTCCTCCATCCCCTCCTCGCACCCCTCACGCACCTGGCCCCTCAAAGATCTTTTAACTGCTGTCTCCTCGGTCGAACATAACCTCGAAGCACAGTTTCCGAATATGCTGTACACGGACGTGTTGGCGAATACGCACGCGGAGCTGGCGAAGCGGTTGGGCGTGAGCGGGGAGGGCGCGAGGTATGTGGATGATATTGCTGGGGGTGCGGGGACGAGTGCGAGTGCGAGTGCGAGTGGGAATGGGGATGAGAGGAAGAGGAGGTTGGAGGCGATGGATCGGGAGTTTGCGGAGAGCATCAAGGATTGGCCTGTTTTTGGGGATACGAACGAAGCGCTTCGTTCTCTCTCGACTCACTTCAAACTCATCGTTCTCTCCAACGTCGATCGTTTCTCCTTCGCACACACGCACAAAATACTATCCATGCCCCCATCCTCCTCGCCCTCCATCGCCTCACCAGGTTCCGACCCCTCCGACCCCTTCTCGCTGATCATCACTGCCCAAGACGCAGGCGCCTACAAGCCTTCCTTACTCGCGTATAACTACGCATTGGACCAGATACAGGAGAAGTTGGGTGTGAGGAAGGACGAGGTGCTCGTCGTGGCGCAGTCGTTGATGGCGGACCATGTGCCCGCGAATGAGCTGGGCATCCCGAGTGTGTGGATTGATAGGCAGGGGGCGTGTATGGGGAAGGATGTGAAGGGTGTGAAGTGGATGTGGAAGTTTGAGACATTGGGGGAGATGGCGGAGGCTGTTGAGGAGGAGCTGCGAGAAAGTCTGTGATTCTGAGCGGTGAACGCTTGAGCGATTAGGGAGGGTCTCGTATGGTGTGGCGCCTACTGTTTTGCTTGATTATCTTTGTTTCATGGTTGTACTAACGATATGTTTTCTTTTTTGGAATATGTCTGTACTACTTGCTCTGTTGTATACCTACACTTGTACCATCACTGCTTTCGTCGAATACGATCGTTGCTTTCCACTAACTCCGTGACTAGCGCCTGTGGCGACACCTACCTTTGATTCACAGCATCCCATCAAAACCAACGACGCTTCTCCCGCCCTCAGATCTCCAGCTTAACTTCTAACAGCGCATCAAAACTAGAGCAAGACCGTGACTGTTCTGCACAGGACAATAAATCAAAACATCTGCTAAGATGTCGACTTACTGAATGATAGCACTTTCTGTAGGTAGGAAGTCTGCAAATCTGATTAGAGGCCTTGATAATTTGCGCAGAAAGAGACTCAGGTCAATTCATGATCCGATGAGACCGCCTCTGCAGTTGCTTGTACCCCGATAGATTGCTACAGAAAGTCGCCGCCACAGGAGCTGCGACCCTGCCAATGGCTTGCGCCACCCACTTCGTCCGCATTCGGACGAGTTATTCCAAATTTGCAATTGCACCCCTCCTCGCGCTCGACCACAAAAACGCGTGCGCAGAAGGAACGCGCAAAAACACGCCCCCCACCGGTCCACTTTCGCTTTCGCTTTTCTTCTTTCTCCCTCCGTGTTGGCACCTTGAAAAAAAGAAATATTGATCTCGAGGCTTCATACAGTCGTGTCAGTCTGACTTGCACCTCGTCGAAATTACGTTTGGCCGGCCAGTCTATCGCCGTCGAGTCCTACGCGCTCCTGTCGTGTTTCCTAGCTGTTTGAAGTTCTTCGCGACTCAAAAAACTCGAAGTACTCTTCGTCTCGTCCTCCAGTTCCTTCTCGGAAAAACGCATTGTCTCCCCGAGACTTTACACCTAAACACATACGGTGCGTAGCCTTCCGAACCCCCATTCAATTCGGTTTTGGAACAAGTATGTGTTCGGGTGTTCGGTTTTGCTCATTATGCCTGTATCTATTCGGGTTTTTGTTTCTAGGTTGAGGCCGTTTCAGTTGTCCCTTGTCGTGAACCGGGTTACAAACGCCCGCGCCCGCATTGGCCGTTTTGTCTTTTATAACTACACGCGTCTGTTGTCTTAGTTCTCAGATTAGACAACCGTTCGAGCCACAGACACCTTTTCTCACGTATCACACATAGACCACTGCGTCTTTAGGAAAAAACAAACATGAACTTCCCCCCTAACTTCTCCCAATCCCAATCCCAACCCCAGCCCCAAAACCCAACCAACGGCAGCCCTTCGTCCTCCACTTCGAACACTCCCATGCCGATGCCGATGAACCCGTTTCAATTCCCGAACCCGAACATGAACATGAATCCGAACCAAGGTCAGGGCCCGAACCCGTTCGCGGCGATGTTTGGGAATATGGGCGGGATGCCGGGTAACGGAATGGGAATGGGCGGTGGTGGAGGAGGTGGAGGAGGGATGCCGCCGAATATGGGGATGCCAAACATGAATATGCAGCAGATGCAGCAGATGATGGGCGGGATGGGCGGGATGAACGGGATGGGAGGGATGGGAGGGATGCCGCCGCCACCGGGACCAGCACAGAATGGAAACAACCAACCACAACCACAGCAGCAGCAGCCACAACAGCCACAACAGCCGCAGAACGCTCAACTCATGCCCGGTATGCCGATGGGTATGGGCATGAACGGAATGAATCCGAACGGGATGGGAGGGATGGACCAGATGTTCATGCTTTTTACGCAGATGCAGCAGGCTATGCAGTCGAACCCGCAGTTCGCGCCGATGTTGATGATGCAAATGCAGATGATGGGACAACAGGCTCAACAGGCTCAACAGGCTCAACAGCAACAACAGGCCCAACAGGCCCAACATCAACAACAGTACCCAGGCGGCCCATCGGGATCCACGCCTCAAACGCCTCAAACGCCAACGCCAACATTCCCCAATTTCCCGCCCACACCCGCACCCGACCCGTCTTCCGCCTCCACCTCCAATACCGCCAACAAACCCCCATCCGCCGCCGTCCAAACCGCCCTCTCGTTCCGTCTCCGAAACCAGCCGCCCACGAACGAACAGGCTATCGCCCTGCTGTACGACGTCTCGCCGCAGCTTTTGCAGAGTGTGTTTCGGTTGACGACGAGTGCGGTGGGGTCGAAGGATGATGATGAGAGGGTGCTTGTGGAGGCGCTTTGGAGGGCGGGGAAGGGTGGGAATGGGGAGGGAGTTGATTATGGGAAGGCTTTGAGGGGGTTACATGGGGTGCGTTATATATTTTTCATTTCCCCTGTGGTATGAGACAGGACATGCTCGTGCAGACGGACATTTTTTTGTCTTCTGATCGTGGCTCCGAAATAATGACTTCCAAATCTAACATACTCATCCGCTCTCTAGGTAAACGACCACGCCACGAATCACTGGCAGGCCTATTATTGCACGCACCAAACCCGCATCGACGCCCTCGTCGCCTCCTTCGACCCTTCACCCTCCGCACGAGTCGGAGCACGCTCATCCACTCCATCCTCAGCCTCAGGAGCAGCGCAAGCAAACCCCATCGGACCCAACAAAACCGCGAAAAAGCCGACGTTCATGAGCGCGCCCTCGTCCAACACGGCCCGCGCAGGTCCCTCTCGGCTCGGGACCGCCATTCGAAAATCGACGGGCTCGAAGCCTCCTGCAGCTTCTTCTTCATCTTCTTCGAGACCGTCTAATGGCAGCATTGGTCCGAAATTGAAGAAGCGACCGTCGGAGGCTGGTGGTGGTGGTGATGGTGGTGGACCTGAGCCGAAGAAGGCGAGGACGTTGGAGGAGGAGTTGAGCCAGCAGAGTGTGAGGAGTCAGATCCATAATGAGAGGGTTATTGAGGGTCAGCAAAATAAGGGGAAAGGGAAGGGGGTAGTGAGGAATGGGTCGGGGACCTATTCGACTCCGGGAAACAGTCCAGTTAAGAAAAAGATCGGGAATGGGATCGGGAATGGGATTGGGACGGGGGTGAGGGCTGGTTCGTCTGGCTCGAGCACGGTCATCGAACGACCCACGCCTTCGAACGGTGTGACGTTCACTGGCTATGTGACGAAAGCGGGACTTCGCGAGCCGACACCGCCGAAGGAAGGGATGCATGCGGTGTGGACGGACGAGGAAGAGAAGTACGTGATTGATTTTGTGGAGTGGAATTGTGAGGTTTATAAGGAGTTTTTGGAAGCAGGGGGGGCGAAGAAGAAGACGCACGGGGGGTGGGCGAACAGGGTCAATAGGATGAAGATGGCGAAAAGGATGGAGGAGAGGGTGAGTCACTTTGCTAACTCTTCCACATCTTGTGTATCTGGTCTTTGGGGCAGACTTCTTCTGTGCTCAGTACCCTTGAATGCTTGGTCTGCGTTAAAGCGATGGTTATTGATATTCTTTCTTTTTTTTTCGGTCGTTTAGGCTCCATGGCACAGCACTGGCAATTACCGGCAAAAGACTTACGAACTCTGGCCTACTAATCAGAAAATTAAGAACACCCAGGAATGGGCAGAGAACTTGAAAGCGCAGAACAAAGCACCATCAGCCGAGGTTGAGTCAGAAGACGGAGAGGGGGAAAGTGATGGGGATGAGCAGGAGGGAGCGGATAAGGAACATGATGAATCGATGTATGTGGACGGCGACGAGGGGGATGCTAGCAGCGACGAAGAAGGCCCAGACGGTGTTGCCGACCATGTCGCTGCGGTCAAGGTGGACCCTATCAAAGCGCTCGCGGAATATATATCGTTGTATGACGAAGTGGAGTGGCTTGCCTTCAGTGTCAAGGACAGGTGGGAGACGTTACTTGAGAAGGTGCGTGATTTTCTCTCTTGAGGGCTATGTTTCGCGGGTTAAAGGATGTATGCTGATCATTTGTTCGCTGGCGATTTCCTGACTCATAGTATCCCGAGAGAAACCAGAAGTCTTGGGCGTCCATTTTCGGGCACAATAAGGACGGTTCGTGCTTGTTTCCTCTTTCACGTGGAACTTGATACTCATTTTCGTTGCAGATATTCTCCGCCAAGCTGCGAGGTACCGAGCCCGGAGGCTCAAAGGCGCCGCCCTCGACGACAATGCCAACGACGACGTGCAGCCTCTTCCACTCGACAGCGACGACATGCCTTTCGAAGAACCTCCGGTAGCTGGTGGACAGAGCCAGTCCGAGTCCCAAGCACGGCTCTCACCTCAGGTCACACCAAGCGCGCAGCCTGGGCCTGGGGTCAGAGTTGGACTTGAGGCTGGGGGTGGTACTGCGTCCGCCGATAATGCTATGAACGTCGATGGTCCTCAACGTGAGACCAGCATCAATGGATCTGTGGCGCCGAAAGGGCCTGGTCAGGCTTCCGGGAGTCAGTCCAGGGTGGGATCGAACGCGAATTCGCCTGTGGTACAGAATGATCCGGAGATGGTGGCGAGAATTAGGCAGCGGTTGAGTGCCAGTAACGGTTTAGGCGTCTGATCTGGGGGTGTCTTCTTGGGGGCGGTCTTGTGGTTTTTCTTGCGAGCAGGTTTCTTGAGACGACGCGCTGTTTATAATAATAACGAGCTTTTCTTTCATCCTATGATATATGTCGTGTAATTGTGAGGCATTTGATGTTACTTCTCTATGGTGCAGGCTTAGCTTTCGTGATGTCGTGAACGGTTTGTGCTCAGACAGGCCCGGCCGCGTAGATCCTGTCTTAGATACTCCATTGTTGTCCTGCTCAACTCAGTTCTTGTCCAGGTCCAGGTTCTCTTTATCGATATACACTACGTTCAGTAGAAACATCCGGACCCCTTCGTGTAGATCGTATAAAATAATAGCGGGCAACATTTGGACGGCCCAACAAGGGAACCAAGGGTACGATTGGGTCGTGATTGACGATAGACATAACTTGATAGTTTGTACACAAACGGAAACGACATGACGAACAGAGCGCACATAAAGTCAAAAACACAAGCGACAAGTACGACGGAGAGCTGCGGAGAGTTGCGAGACGAAAGCAAGAGGAAGACATATGGGCGTACCACAAACAGAGAGTATTTACGGATTCACGGAAATGTAGCTCGATATCCAAGTTGTTCATAGGCAGAGATAAGAGACCATGGAACGAGCGCGTAGACAGCGTACAAGTGGATGCAGACACGCAGTTTTTGAGGGGACAATTGCATCACCTTGACGGAGAGTTCATGCCTTTCTCACGTCTCCGACGCCTCTTGCGGTAGCGATCTGCCAGCAAAAGAAATCCTGGAAAAGCAAGCGAGATGAGAAAAGTTCTCAGAAAAGCGCAGAAATTGAGGGGCTCACTTGTCTCTTCCAATCTATACCGAGATCGCACAGCTTCCAGCGTCCTCCCAGGCAACTGTAAAATATTGATAATGAGCAATAGTCAGACACTCAAGAGGACGGGTGGTCGTGAGTTCAATAGGATAATTGTACCTTGTGCATTATCGGCTCCCAAAGCTTTCTAGTCATCGGGCCGCCGCCCCATTCGCTAATGGTGTACGTCGACATATGCTTTGCCATTATGCGCTGCTCTGCCATAGTATACACTAACCCATGGTCACCTTCATTCAGCTCTTCTTCCGAAGACTCCAGATCGGGACCTTCGTTCCGCATGGTCCATTCGGGTTTCGACTTCAGAGACAGGTTTAATGTCTCGAGACTGGGCCTCTTCTGCGTAGGACGGCGCTTGCGACCAGCGGAGTCGGATCTCTCGTTGTTCATGGGGAGCTCGAGAAGGACGTCAAATTCGGAGTCAGGTATAGGGAAACCTGCAGCACGCCTAAGCATGTTGTGGATGATGGACAACTCCAGGGAGCGATTCGTCCAGGACGCAAGACTATGATGTGGTGCCTGTGTGGCGTGATTTTCAGGTCAAAGATGAGTGGTCTTTCCTAAACATAAATATAGAAAAGGAGACAAATACCTGTTCCGCCAAACGAGAACATATGTCAGCTCGAAGAAGCGTCGCGTCTTGGTTCAAGTGATAGGCAAATGACTTGATCATATATTCCGTGTCGTCCTCTGAGAATTTGTGTTTTTGCGTGCCTAGCAAAACTGCTGTAGGCGGAGTGGGTGCCTCGGTAGGGGCATTCGGGATACGTCCTGCGTGGCGGATAGTATCTTGAAGAAGTTTGGGCTTCGGAGTGGGAAAGAAGGAGATTTTGGGACGTCCCGAATGTTGCAAACCGTGAGGACGAGGAGCAGGAAAGAGAATGGTGCTCTTCTTTGGCTTGTGAGGAAGAGGAATAGGTCGCTTTGGGACCCTGGGGACCGGCAAGGGAAACGGGTACTCGTCGGAGTCTGGCGTGATGTGGCGTCGTTTCTTAGATGTTGCCACACGTCGGTGGGTCCATTCGGTGTCTGATTCTGATTCTGATTCTGACTCCGAAGGGATAGCAGCAGCCGTTGGAGAGGAAGATGGGGAGTTCGAAAATCCAGATGGTTCATCGGAGAGACTTCGAGGAGCAGCAATGATTTCTATGCGTTGGTTGAGGCTATGAAGGTGCTGCAGGTAATACTCTCTCCATTGATACGCAGTGTGACCGTTGACCTGAAGCAAACGAATCAGCGGTTATTCTCTTACAAAGACATAAGCTGGTTAGTAAGTAAACCAGGCGAGTTGAAGACATTACCGTGTGTATCTCGTTGAAACTGTCGTAAACGCTCAAACCCTTCTGTCGACCAGCACATAGGGCACTGACGAGGACTTCCTCATCGTTGGGAAGCTCACCGACAGCCCTTAGTATCTGAGCGTCGAAGGTATGTGGAGCAGTAATACCCATGGACGGGTTAAACGAGAAATGATGTGGCGTTACTGAGTACGCTGTTGCACTGGGCAAAGTAGGCGTCTGCGCGAATCCTCCTAGTGAAGGCCATGGAAAATTCATTGCAAGGACCTAGAATTCCACCGCACACCAAGAGCAGACAGACGAATCGCTCCCAGAGATTGATAGTGGTGGTCGAGCGAAGAGAGCGACAACTCCTGCAAGTTCACCGAGCGCCACGGAAACACTTCCAGGGCTGATTCGGCTTCTCCGCTGATTCCCGGCGGTGCTGTACATACATAAGCACTCACAGTGTACTTATCTCACCAGAACCATACTCGCGCATGCACCCATTGGTGAATATCGGAGCAAATACATCCCTGCCGAACCGAGTGCCTGCCCCCGTTGCGATGTCCTCGAGACGCGCCACCACATCCTGGAGTCCTGTCCGCTGTACAAACGTCCACGCCGAACCGGTTTCTATACTTTTATTGCTTCTTCACGGAACCCCATACGATTACTCAAAGATTTCCTTACGAACAATCCACTCGCATTTACGTTTGATTCCGCTAACTTACACACACCCGAACATCCCCCGCCCCCGGACTGATTGGGCCACATTTGATCACATACATTTTCAGTATATCGAACTTATTTGCTTCTGCACTCACATTACCCACTCTTCCAGTCGAGTTCCACAGTGTTTACCAACTTTACCTACGCGTAGTTAGTTGACTAGTTACACCCAAACAGCGCCCCTGGCCAGCGCCGGCGCTATATAAATGCATTTGAATTTAAATTAAAAAAACTCACAGTGGGAATATTTGTGCATGGAGTGCCGCTAGGCGTTGAGCTCGAGTCTGTCACGGTGCGAACTTCGCGAGCAAGAACAACTGGTCACTCAATACCCAACAAGAAGATAAATAACACATGAAAGGAGTATATGTTTGAATAAAGTACAACAACGGTATGCATATTTCACCGAATGAATGAGAGAGCTACCTGGACTGAAGAATCTGTCGCGAACTCCGTGATGCGCCCCAGCTCAACTAACTACAGTTAAATTAATTAGTAGTAGAGATAAAGAAAAGGGATTCTGCCAATTCTCAACGCCATTCTTCATTAGACTGGTGCATCGTCGAGGCTTATGGACGAATTCAAGCCTGGCCAGCAGCTTCGCGCGCGCGTTGACGTAGTCGTCGGCGATACTTCTTGGCGAGTTGTAGAAGACCTGTTGTATAGCCATGCTACTCAGCGCAAACATTGACGAAAGGATTGAGAAGAACACTCACGTTTGTCCTCACTACCGTATTTGCTCATGAGAGACGAGGCGGTGCGCCCGGGCATCTAATCAGAAGAGAAAGCGAGTAAAGCCTCCGTAAGCGGATGTTATACACAATATCCACAGAGTCCCAAAGTTTACCTTGCCAAGCAATGGCACCCACCGATCCGTCCTATGCATCGAGTTCCACTCTGCCGAGCTATATGTTGCCATAAACTTCGCCATCCGCCTAAACTCGGTCAACGTGAACATTTTCCCCTTGCCTCTGCCAGCCGGCGCTGCGTTCGCCGATTCCTCCTTCTCCTCATCCGTCGAATCCAGTCCGGGCCCTTCGTTGCCCATTCGCCATGGGATCCGGTGCTCGAAGTCGCTGCTTAAGTAGCTGGACTCTTCACCATCGGATTGCTCATCATTTGCGTCGCCGGTGTAGAGCTCAATGTCAAATTCGCTATCGGGGATGTTGTGGCCAGCTGCCCGTTTGAGCATCTTGTCGAGGATGGGGAACTCAGAAGAGTAATTGATCCAGGAAGCCTTGCCGTGGTTTGGAGACTAATAGGTTACGAGGTTGGAACAATATTAGCCCAGTTTCGAAAGAAAATCAAAACGAAAGCGAAGTCAGAGAAATGGTGGGCACCTTTTCGGCTAATCTCTCGCACACGAGCGGTCGGGTCAAGGTCGAATCTTCGTTGAGATGATACGCAAAGAAGCGGATCATGAAGTCGACGTCTTCCTGCGTAAATCGATTCTTGGCGGCGCGTTCGACTTCAGGGGGTGTAGGCTCCTCGGTTGGAGCGTTGGGAATACGGCCGCGGACAGGTGTACGTTTCGCCTTGTGTTTCTTCCTGAGAGGACCTCCAGCTGTTGATGGAGCAAGAGATGACGATGAGGCCCGGTTACGAATCTTTGTTTTGGTTCGAGACCTGTCTGACCCGGAGATCGATGGGTTGTAGGTCGATGTTGATTCTGCTGGAGAGGATGAACGGGAAGAATCGGATGATACGGATTCCTTCCTCTTGCGCTTTAATGGTCCTGAACGGCGAGCAAGTGTAGGGCCAAAAGGTAAGGACGTGGGTGATGGATCAGCGAAAACGGGTTTCTTGGCGGTTTTCACAGGTGGTGGTGCTGACGTCTTCGGCGGAGGGGACTCGCTGAGTTTCTCTACTTTAGCAATGATAGCGCTCCGGTGGTCGAGGTAATATTCCATCCACTGGTACGCTGTATGGCCATTTGTCTGATGGGTGAATCGATATATTAAGTTCGCCCACATTCACCATAAACATGACGTAAGCGAGGAAGGAACCTACTGTATGCAGTTCAGTCAAAGCCTGAGCGTGATTCAAGCCATTTTGACGGCCAACAAAGAGTGCATTGACGATGAGGTCCTCATCATTCGGACAGTCACCAACTGGCTTGGGCCCAAGTGCAGCCAAATCACTAGGACTACTGTGCGCGGCATCATTGGAGACAGAGAAAGACGGGTTTGCTAGTTGCTGCTGCATTGCAAAAAGCATGGCAGGATTCATCGAAGCGGCGAAGTTCCCAAGAAGGTGATTTTGCATCAGAGGGACCTGTGGCGCCACATTCGAGGTTGGCGGCAAACCGACAGGAAGCTGTGCCGGACTTGTACCCAGAAAGAGCGACACGTTCTGAGGAGGATTGGGTGGTGGAGGCATGGTGGAATTGGACGCGACGGATGCAGAGCGCGACGGTACAGTGGTGGTAACGGTGGTGCTGTTCATGACGCAGAGTGAGAAATGTGATGGCAGGAGAGACACTGATTTTCGTCCGTGAGAGTGTGTTTCAGACTGCTTTTATATAGGTCGTCGGCGAGTCAGATGAGACAGGGAGAACGAAGGAGCGAATGCGCCACGATTGTGCTGGCAGGGTCAATGCAAAGGGGTTAAACGGCCGGCGTGCCCATGCACCGTGTCATCAACAAAGCCGAATGTGTTCTTCGCTTGTTCCCGGTATGGCAGGGACCGATTCTGCGGAGGCTATCCTCAGCTAACAACGTCTCCGAGCAAGAATCAAGTTCTGAATCTTACTGACCGCGTGAAAGAAGGAATACAGTGACGTTACTGATGCCTATTGCCTAACGTCTATCGATATCGGTTCAAACTTGTGTCTTGACGGACGCCGGGTTCTTGCGGAGTGTAAATCTCCGGGCCGAGGTGCCACAAAGTTACGCCACATCTTGTCTTCAGATTTCTACCGCTCCGTCATCGGTGCCAACTGGGAACTCTTCCTTATTCTACACTCTCATCTCACCATGACTCTCAGTAATATCTCTGTGGCGAAGATATGCAGTAGAAGGCTCCATATCGTATCCATACGCTCTACACTTTCGCCGGCATCTCTTCGACAAAGCATACGTCCATGTTCAGCTAGCAGAAAGTCATTCAAATTCGCACATACCCCTCCTACCTTTGGTAGGAGTTTTGCCACAGAATCAACAACATCGACTCCAAAAGCGAAAACTGGAACCATTCAGATATCTACCCTGTTCACCGGTCTGCTCATTGTGGGAATAGGTATAACCGCGTATGGGGTGTATGTCAGTCTCTCCGTTCCTTTACCGTCCGTCCAGGATGTGACATGTTACTTATCATTATTTTTGAATTCTCATAGATATGACTTCTACAAGTCGTTTGCTATATGGCCTCCAGAAATCAGGGCAGACCTACGCTCAGGTATAAAAGCGAGAAACCAAGGTGACCTTCAACTCAGCGAACAGTTCCTCCGGAGGTACGTCATTCCCCTCAGTTCGATAAAATGTTCATCACTCAACCGTTCGTCCCCGTACAACGATACCACAGAGCATACGAAACTGCACTGTCCCTTCAACTTACCTCGTTCACACCCTCTCCCTACCTCAAACTCTCCGGTATCGCCACAACGCTCGCCTCCGTTCTCGAACTTGCCAAAAAGCCCTCCGAGGCCTACACGACCTACGCATCGGCCCTCCATCTCCTCCAATCACACGCCAAGGAGCTCAATGACCAGGAACGATTGCGAATGGTGGCACTGGCAAGTAAGCTAGGCGAAATGGCAGAGGAGTGGCAGCTGGGTAATGAGGAGGAAGAGAGGTGGCTGATGTTTGCGGTGGAGGAGGGATTGAGGGTGGCGAGGGACGTAAACCTCGGGAGAGGGATCAAGATTAATTTGGCAGACGAGAAAGGCAAGGGGAAGGGGGTCGAGGAGGCGAGGCAGGAGGAGAAGATTGTTCTGGAGGATCTGCAGTTGCCTGGGTGGCTAACAGCGCAGGATTTGGGCGCGCCGATAGAGGCGCTTGGCGCGTTCTACGCTCGGACTGGTCGAGTCGAGTACGTTGTGTTTAACCTTTGTTCTCACTCGGCTAGATTCTCATTAAATATGCCTTATTTAGCTATGCCGCCCCCCTCTACCTACAAGCTATATCGCTACTCATACCGACACCACAATCCGGAAATATTGGCTCTCCGTCTGACATCTGCCGTGGTGCTCAGCTCATGACTTCTCTCTCGGAACTCCTCATGCGAACGCCCACACCCGAAAAACTGCATCAAGCCGAAGCATGGGCATCGCAGGCCCTCGGTCTGATTGAGAAGACCCAAAAGCAGGCGAGGGAGAAGGAGAGTATCTGTGAGCAGGCGTTAGCTGTAGCGTTGTTCAACCTGGGATCGATACGCGAGGTATGTCTCGACCCTTTGATCAGTTTCGTTTTCTATACCGTGTTTGCTGGTCTGACCATCTTATACCGGCAGATGCGAGAGGACCTTCCGAAGGCTCGTGAGCTCTTCGAGCGCAGTCTCGAGCAATCAAAAACCATCGGTCTGCGAGAAGGCTTATTTGAAGCGAAACAGGCGCTTCGACGGCTAGACAGGTTGCAGAACGGTACTAGCCATCGTCCTGTTTCTCCGCTACCTAGCAATGGGGAGAAGCCCGCATCTTCTGTATAATATTATTTCGGGCCAACTGGCTCATGCTGCAGCCACCCAATGTTCATGGTGTGACCGGATATGTCGACTTCAAAGTGCCATTCGATGAGAATATCCCGAGGCGAACAGAAGAGTGATAGTTCCTATCCATAATTTTGGAGGAAGGAGGAGACCATCCTGCCTGCAGCATATTGAGCTGGCTAAACGTCGCCACCGCCACACAAACAAAGGCGCCAGCACACCTCAAGAATGACCGACCGACGGGTCGTTGAGAAATATGCATGGAGGAGAATTTAAAGGAATGTTCGGTACGTAGATCACAACAAAGGAGAAAAAAGTCAAGAAGTAGGAAACTAAACCAACACGACAGTACGAAGTAATTGCAACGAAGAAAGATGACCGTGAGCATGCAACAACACCTAGCAGACTGGCCGCACCAGAATTACTCAAAAAGCCGCCGCTACTAAAGAGCTATCGTCTACTCCCCAAACCGCCTCGCCAACCCGTTATGAAGACTCCACTTCCTCAAGCAGCACTCCCGACGAAGCCGCCAGTCGACTCGCCGGCCTCGACTCATCATCTGAGTCTGCGACTTCCTCAATGAAGGCACCACCGTTTGTTGGGGCTGGAGCAGGAGACTCTGAAGGTGAGGGTGCGTCGGAGCCCGATGCTGCAGCTACCGTAGGATCGCCTTTAGATTTCGATTTCTTGTCCTTCTTGTCTTTGTCCCCGGCGCGCTTCTTTGTCTTCTTCTTTGGGAGGTCCCATTCCCAAAGTGGGATGAAGGAGTCAACCTATGGAAATGTACGTCAATTATGATGTGAGCAACACAGAACATCAACATTAGTGAGGGCATAGAGGTGTGAAGGATATAGTAGAGAGAGCGGGAGAGAGATATGGTACGTACAAATCCAACATCCGCGAATAACCTTGGGAATATCCAGATCCCAGGATTTGCCACCACCACGGTGATGATGTAAAATATCAACCTCACGATCGCAATCGCAAACAACAACCCAATCAACCCCAAAACGCCCACACTGATATACCACACCCCCATCCGCATAATCGGTGGCCAAAGCGGGAACATCACACCCGCGAGCATAATAGCCACCATTGCCAATCCACCGACATAAGTCGTCCATTGCGAACCCTCGTAGAACCAAGCGTAGTATTCTTCTGGTTTGAACAGCTGTACGGGGTTTATTTGTACGTGTTTGATAGAAGAGGAGTTCGAATTGACAGGTTGTCCACGATCGACGCGAAGGAAGAAGGCGAAAGGGATGATGGAGTGTAGGAGGGTCTGGGCTTCGGATTCCGAGGTTACTTTTGGGACGTTTTTGAGTTTGGCGTAGGCAGGGGAGAGGAGTGCTTTGATAGCGGATTTGCCTAATGATGGGGAGGCAGAAACGCGAGAAGACGCGAAGGCGTACGCGTTTTAATTGATGATGTGGCGAGTGAGCGGGTTGTATGAAAGCACAAGATTCGGGAGATTTTGGACAGACCTTTGAAATAATCAATCCGCTTGCCATTCAAGACACCTACTCTAATCTTTATCCCAGCTTTACCGCTCCTGAGGAACGAGATGACATTGCGTAGATCGACAGGTGCTTTGGCCTGCTGTTCCACAGTGGACATCTGTGGCTCCTGCGAGATTATCAAGTCTTAGCCGGATTCACCCAACTTTGTAAGAGCGAAGCATACGTTTCGAGGTCAAAGGAGTGGATTGGTACTGTGCAGACCAAAGGGGGTTTGGAGAAAGTTGAGGAACAAAACAAGAGGCGTGCCAGCTGGCGTGGCCGTCCACCGCTCTGAGTTCATGCTTATTTTGTTACGTAATCCCGGAACCAGCTCGCGTGCGCGGTGCGCCGTTGATTCGATCGGGCTTGAATAACGTCCATCACTTTCTCGACCTGCTCAAAACCTCTTCCTGCACTTTGCACGATACAACTCAAGCCTTTCTGACAGACATTGGAACCGAAAGGACTCTGACCGACTGTGTTGCTGCGACTACAGAGTATCGACCACGACAGCATCACATTTGTCGTCCAGATTTTCGTTTCGGTACTTTATGAAAAAAATCTCATCACCTCCGACTTTCTTGATCTGTGACCACCACTGGCATGCCCATGAAGCCGATTGCTTATGCATCACTCGGGGAAATTGAAATCGAGCCACTTGAGGCATCGGTGTGGCTCCAGCCTGAGGTCGACGTACCTTGAGCTGGGTAGATTCTTGCTCGGGATCAAACGAAATTTAACCTTAACCGTCTACGAAAACGCCAACGGAAATACAGATAACTTACACGCTAAACTTTGTTCGAACTGCCTTAATCTAGATAAGGTAGACACCGTCTCAAGCTGCCCAATGAAGAACTGTGTGGCTCCTCCGCACCCTTCACCGTCCCCTTCCCTCGTCTCCCACTCTGCCACCACACACTCTTATCATCTCATAGTACTATTTTCTGGGGAGAGGAAACATTCAGAATGAGCCAAGATGTGTCGGATGCGATCAGCATTTTGGCGTGCGCTCTTCGCCTTCGGCATCATAGCGGCTACGACGTGTTGGACGCAATCGAAAATCTCGACGGTGTTCGTCTCATTCTCTTCCATTTTCGGGATCACCTCTGCTAAATCTGCTTCAGTTTCTAGGGTATGATGTTGAGCAATGGCTCAATGTCTACATGGATAAAACCGAGGAGGTAGACAAGCTGGCCTCAAACGATACTGCAATCCCGGATGAAATTCTCCTACTTGGCGCGCTTCGTACTTGTCCTAACGAGTCCTCCAGCCAACAAAGGAGAGAGGCTATCTATAGGTTGGATGGTGTATGTCACAATCATTTTTTTTCAGTGTTGTTGTATTCACGTCGCCCTTCTGGAGTTCAATGACCACGATCGTCGTACCTGGCTCCGTTCCTACCTCGAGAATATAGCTTTGCTTCACCGGCAAGCTTCCATAACTTCCAGTTCTGTAGCAGAAACCAGTGGGTCAGAGATTTCTTTATCTTGTCATTGGAACCGCTTTTGAAACAGCTTGATACTTTTTATGTTAGCATCAGAGCAGAGTTCCTCAACTTGGAGCGGTAGCGCTATGGTTCCCAAGCCCCCATCCATCTTCACTGTACGAGAGGATACTAGTAGTAAGTATATCTTGCTCCTGAGCTATGTATTGATTCACCCTAATCTCGTTGTCAAAATCTCCTTGAGAAGCCTTCGACTCGGCCAGCATCAGCGCTTCCTCACGACGTGAAGTCGAGGTAGAAGATACTCCGCGCTCTACTCATAAAACCTCATCGTCCTCATCCTATACGTCTAGAAAGTCTTCCATCCCCAGTTCCCATGTTAGAAGGGTTGAGGAAGAGCACCGATTATTATCACACTCGCTGGATCTAGAACTCCGTACACAAAGGCCTGAAAGTCGCCCCACGACTGCTTCAGGTCGTTCTACAAGCAACATCCAACGCACTCCACCTCCTCACACCAAGGTTCCGGTTATTCCAGCCACGCCTGCCCGCCCTGACTTCCCTTGCCGAGATCATTCGATGATTGACGCTCTTAAACCCTTAGACTCTGCTCAGGGTCGGAATGCAGCTCACATGGCCCAAGTTTCACCTCTGTCGGCCCCGTCATCTCATCTTTCTACTCATCGATCGGGCACCACACATGCCCCGCGTGCTCGTTCTTCTCCTGGCCCTCAAGTCGTGACACGTCCTTCAGAGCTAGCATCCAATAGTCAACTTGCGGCCGGAGCTACTCTATCCTTCACATTTTGCTCCGCATCTTCTCGTACAGTTTCCATCGAAAATGCCGCAGCGTCGTCTTCGCGCCGTGCGCCCTCTCCCCGCCCTAATAATGATCCTTGTGGCCACCACCCACCTGCTTCAAGTACACCCCGCTCACCAGTATTCACGCGCCGGCCATTTCTAGTGCCGTATTCGCCGTCTTCACATCATCAGACTTCCGAGGACAGCGAAGACGGATTAGAGACTAAAGACCAGCCGCGAACCGGTTCCGTGCCTCGTATCGCGGCTTTGTCCCATTCTGGACCACCCGAGGACTCTGACGGCGAAAAAGAATCTTCGAATAAGCTGAGAAATGCTTGTGCTTCCACGTCGACCGCTAATCCTGGAAAGCGTCGTCGATCCGTCACCTTCACCTCTTCCTCTTCGAGCACTTCGGACAGCGATATCGAAATCGTCGCTGATACGCTCACTTCTTCGAGAACTCTGCGTTCCAAAGACCAGAATGCTGCAGACATCCGCTCTCCGTTGTCTGCACGAAAGAAAATTCGGTTGATGAAGGAGGAAAACCCGAGCTACACTACCATGCATTCACCATCGAAGATTATACGTTTCTCTGCGATCTTTTTGCGCACGAGGTACAACTTCCGGAGAACAAGGATAAGAAACTCACGTTCATAGGAGTGTGCGAAAAGGCTCATGAAAAGGTAAGGTCCTTCAAGAATGGTCGTTACCGCTTCGGCGTGACTTATCTCTTTGCAGTCCTGTCACCATTCTGCCCTTTCATGGTCTATCTATGCGCGTCAACAACATGATATTAAGATGCTACTCGACGACCACAATGGAACAGGAAAAAATGAGGCTACTACGAGCGAATCTTCCTCAGAATCAACGCCATGCACGAGTGACTACGATTCCGAGGGCCCTGCATTCTACTGCAAGAAGGATTCTTCCGCGTCGGCATCCACTTTGACGGAGGAGATGTCTGAGTTCGGAGAAGGAGGAACGAGGTATACAGACGCAGATCGGAGGATAATGGCCAAGTACATGTCGCGATTCGGGGTGGATGAGTGGGCGGGGATGGAGAGAACGAACCGTTGGGATGAATTCAGATGTAGAGTAAGAGTGTCCATCCTCATGAGCATCTAAATATTCTTTCGATTCTTGAGAACTGATAATATCCGACCATTTGCATTACAGTATCCACGGCGTTCCTCCCAGTCTTTGAATCGTCAGTATAAGCGATATGAAAAGTGTAAGCCATCTGCTGCTAGCTCACCATCTGCGTCTTTAGGCATGCTCTGATATATTACGCCACAAGCTTCAAGATGTTGGCTAGTCTGTACCGTGAGCGAAGAATAAAACGCATGGCCTCCAATGCACGACGCGAGAAACATGTCGAGTCCTCTCTAAGAACTTGGGATACATATACTGCTACTTTTATGATGCGCGGCCAGACGAATCGGATGTTCTGGTAGCTATTGTCTGTATAGTCCGTGTGATGTCCCTCACTTCTCAGAAAAATGCATTTCTTGGACTTTGCTTGTGCCCCCACCATCCCTTTCGCTGTGACGAATATGAGCTCATTCTAATACAACAGGCGGTAACGTTGTCTTGTAACCCTGCCTGAACGCTAGGAGGCAATCACCACATGTAATACTTTTGCAAGGGTGATGATGTCGTCGATCTTCACCTTCATGTACAAATAAGATGGTGTTTAGAGAAGAGGAGAAAATAAAGAGCTCTTTATATTATATTGAAGAAAATACGGTACATGAGAACACGGACATTAGTGACTTGTTTGTCAACATTGCTATCGTAATGTATGTGACCAAGCCAGAGGAGCCAACAGTTGACCTATGGAAACACTAGCACAAGCTAAGGTATGCTATGCAATTCAACGTAAATCCGCGCCGCTTCGGCTTTCGCTTTGTTCTGCGTCGTGCCAATGCCAAATGCCACGGGCTGCGAGCCGTTTCCAACTATAACAGTGTGTTATTCGTCAGTGTGCGGCCTCCGAGAACTTTGAAAATCGCTCACTCTTCAAATAAGCGGTATATTCAGTAGCATGGTCGGGCCCAGTCGAAGTGAAACTCCAGTTCGCCGTGAGCCCTTTGGACTGCATGATGTGGTTGAGATCGTTCATGTAGTCTGTTCAGGGGATATTCCCATAAATTCCAAGCTAATAGGTAGGAAGTACTTTACCTCTGCTGGACATTGTTGTTGGAATTGAGAATTGAGTATTGAAGATTGAAGTGAGTGCTTGAGAGGATGGCCTGAAAGACTACAGAGTATCCTCTCTTATACCAACCACGGTAGGGTACAGACTGGTAAAAGTACAGACTGGTGAAACGAGAACATTGGTGGAGGATCAGCACAGTGAGAGCGGGAGAGGATGTCTCCTGAACTGCATGACACCGTGTCAGAGGTGAGGCTGTCTTCAGAGATAGCCTCCTCGTGAACGTTTGGCATGGAGCCAGTATCGTCGTGATTCGTGCCGACAGTAAAGCGGTAGAAGGAAATAAGGGGAGTATCAATGTAAGATTAGGACGAATTGAGCGACTACGACATCTGAGCACGGGTGCATCTGAGCTGCTCTAGTTCATGTTCCGCTGCTACCAGTCGTCCAAGTGTTGACCGTCGCGGTTTCCGTAAGTAGCTCGACAGCGTGAAGACAACGATGAGCAAGAGGCAGAAGTCACAACTTCGCCGTTATGACACCAATTGGGCCTGGCACACAAGGAACGTGTTATGAGTATCTTAGCTGTCCAAATTCAGACAATGATAGTTAGCGTAGAGCGGAAACAAAACACGGGTCACTGCGCTTATGCAACCGATGGCGAGGGTGAACTTGTGTCAAGGTTTTAGTAAAACCTAGCGGGTAGCTATCGGGAGCAGTAGAGATACGACGATCATCAGCGAGTATTGGCTGAGGACCCGGATATGACGAAATGAAGAACAAGTTCCATCAAGAGTATGCAGGAGAACGTCAGCCGTCTATGTACTACCCACTCAATTGATGGTTGGCGAGAGGTAGCACGGGAAAAGACAATCTTTCCCGTTACCTTCTCGGAGACCTGTTCCTAAGGGGAAAGGGTGCCACCGAAGAAGTGACAACAACTCGACTGCCTAGATCCAGAAAGATTTAGGTGGCGCGGCGTACACCTATACTGCGAATTACTTGCACTGTTTGGAAGACTCTGATGATAGGTAGCGTCCCGATGTACTTCCAAGTAATCATTGCGACGGGAAGCTGACTAGAGCAGCAAAAAGTCGAGAGTGGCTCGTAAGCATAGACGTTGGTCCAGATGTGGACTTGCGTACATGCTGGCTCGCCCTGCAGTGTGGATGCTAAGTGTACAGAACTTCAGAGCATAGGCCGACGTCATAGTCCACAGCCGAAGATGTTGAAGCAGCAAATAACGAAATATTCTCCCGCTGTGAGACGAGTAGCGACCCGAACGAATAGTAAGAACAGTGCGGTATCTTTTTGCACAACTCCGACGAGTGATTCCATTCGATAAGACGGGACGAAAAAGCTAGCCGTCGACACAGTCCCGCCTCAATTGAGAGTCGACGAGAGACAGAGCTGCTGCGGAAGTAGGCATATTGCGCCCCGTGCAGGAGACTGATGAAGCACCCGCAAGCGGAATGCAGACCCAAAAGGTGCAGCATCCGAACGAGTTGAGGCTGAAGTGTGAGTGCTATGCATGAAAGTCCTTATTGTTCTCCTTGGACCGGATTCAGCAACCTTCCGTGTCCGAGTCGAGTCGTGGTCTGCTCCGAAGTCGACTAAGTATTACGATTCCTCGACGGCGGCCTGTGGCGATGGTTTGTCGGTGAGCATTGACGCTCTGTCTGAGAAAGACGTAGATTTGATTTCGAAGCTAAGCGTGGATCTCGTGGAATCTAAGGTGAAGGATGGCGATACGTAGACAGGACCGGATACGATGTTAAGTCGAACGTTTTTCTGAGAACGAGTTCCGGGGAGCGGCGAGTATGGCGGTGGATTGATTTTCTTGCTCATTTGTGCCCGGCTCCTACGTAACGTGTTTCCGGTATTCTCTTTATTTCGCCACTTTCTGTCTGGCCATGGTCAGACCACTTCTTGAGGATCGGACGGTTTCTTTCCCCGAAGGCTCCGCAATACGCATACAGTGGTCTCGCTTATGTAGGGTTCGGTTTCGGGCGCCTCATGCGGTTACTTTTGTGGTTTGGTTGTATGTATTTACACACGCAGCGCCCCTGGCTCTCGCTGGCGCTATACAAATACAATTGAAAAAAAAAATGAAGAAAAAAAAACGAGTTCCCACGGCGGCGGAGGCTACTTTCCGGACACCCCAAACAGGAAACAGAATGGAATACTACAAATAATGGCATAGGGTTGGGTTTTGAGATGCATGTATATAATGTTGAGCGTGCCCTGAATGTCAACCGATTCTTTGTGTTCGGGTTTGCGACCGGTATTGAGTGAAGGGGCTCAGATTAATGAAATATAGAGTCGGATGAAGCACAAAAACTGCCGTTGCGGAACGGGATGCTGTCCTCATTCCGGAACTTTGCATTCCGATGCCGATATAGGACTCATGAAGGAATTTATCTGGCGGGGCCGGGACTGAAACCGGTACTTTGTGTTCAGCCGGAGCAATATATTTTATCGAGTCAGTGCTAAAGATAAGGCATGGCGGGCACAAAATATTATGCATTGTAATGAAAGAGGGAGAAAGGGAACCTTTTATTCGGGGGATACTGAATCCATTTCTGTTTGATCATTATCCGCATCTGGTTTTGGATACACAAAGCAAAAGTTACAGCCTCAACGGAATCCTTTGTGTAGCGGCTGCTGTATATAAAGATCAGTGTACACTAAACTGAATGCCCGCTCATCGCCAGAGCCAACAATGAGCGGGCGATTAGTTTAGTGGATCCTGATCTTTAGTGTACAG